ACTCCAGTGCAATTCCTCTATACTGTCAAAGCTTCCTGCCAGTACGTGTTTCTAATATTGACAGTGATATTCCAGAAAAATATTTATTACTCTTATAGGAGTTTTATCTTTTGTTGTTGTTGTTGTTGAGGAAGATTTGCCCTAGGCTAACATCTGTGCCAATCTTCCTCTATTTTGTATGTGGGTTGCCGCCACAGCATGGCCACCAATGAGTGATGTAGGTCCATGCCTAGGATCCGAACCCAGGCCGCCAAAGTGGAGCACGTTGATCTTAACCACTAGGCCATGGGGCCAGCCTGTAGTTTTATCATTTTTTTTGTTGATTTCTAGTCATCCTAATGTCTACAAATGAAGGTATTGTGAGTTGTCTTGTGTAGAATTGTTTCTGTTTGAGAATATTGATTAGGCACCCCTTTATAAAGATGCTGAGGTTATGGTATTCTGGATCAAGACTTCAAAGAAACCATTTATATGTTTAATCCTGGTCTTCTACATGTTTTTAATATATTTTTAAAAACTTGGTAGAAATTCTTACATGCAAGAATGTAATTGGTCATCCTATTAGCATTTAGAAATCCATATTTCACTTGAAGGAATTTGCAAATTATATTTCTCCTGCTTTTAGTAGCATTGTTTAGAAATACAGCCATAAACTAGAATTGATTTTGCTGCAGAAGAAAAAAGTGTGGCTTGGTCATTCACTCATGAAGAATATACTGTAGCATATATGCCTTTAATAATGATAATCTCCTTGAATTGACAATAAAAAACTTTCCAATTCTCAGACTTCAGCTCATTTCATGACTAAACATGGGTTTAGTAGGAATCTGCTAGTGGTTTATGAGTCATGTGAGAAAGATCTGGGGTTTCTAATTAACCACAAACTTAATGATATGCCAGCAGTGTGGTACATCTGCTAAAGGAGTTAATGCAAATGTAGATCACATTGATAGATCAATAGTGTCTAATTAGAGGAAGTAATTTTCGTCTTAGGAAAGGAAATCCAGCTGCAACTTTTCAGCCGTTCATCGCAGGCTGCAGCTTTTAGAGGTGATGGACATGGGCAGCAGATGGGTGCCTACACATAAAGAAGCCTAAATGAGATCAAGGTCCCTGGGGGGAGTGCTCTGAGAGTATGGTACTGTCTGCCATGAGCTCTAGACTTCTGCCTGGAAATCCACAACTCTGCTTATTTTGGAAGATTCACATGTTCTGTTTCATCTCAGAAAGGGTTCTATTATCAGCATTAGCCGTATCACCCCCCACCCTATCAGCGACCCTAATACCTGCAAACCTGAACCAGTTTGCCATCCACGTAGAGATATTTTCAGAAACCATCAGGACCTGAATCCTGCAGTGAGGAGAGCCTGAGACCAGAGCTCTCTGCAAGTGGACATCCATCTCCCAGCGGTACCTGAACCACTTTGGCTATGGCTCCTTCCCCCACCCCAATGCCCAACCACAGAAACCAAGTAAGAATTGGCTGTAGCTGTCTAGTTGCGAACTCAGGAATCACCCTTACCCTCCCAGCCCCTGCATCATTGGCCTTTACTGTTGAGGTCCATGGAACCTTGGTATTTGGACTGTGCTCCATCCTCAGTCTACCCTCTCTCAGATTTGGTGACTTAAGCCCAGCATGCTCCTGCTTTGGGTTACCATTCCGTCATTTCTCCCCATGCTCAGCCCCTGGCAATTAGGTCACAATGTGAAACAGAATCTGATAGCCCACCCCTCTGCTGCTAAGGTTCTTCCTGGTGCTAAATCTCACTGTCAGGCTGCTGGCTCTGGCTCCGCTGAATTGTCTCAGGCTGCCACCGAGAACAGTGCTGTTGCCATTGTGCCATTCCCGTCTGCTTTCTAGTGCTCGGGGGCACACATTAAGATCTCTGTTGGCCCAGGCCCTGAAGAGATCATTTGACCTCCCATTCTTGTATATATTTCAGAATAAAAACTACTAAGACATCCAAAAACAAACAAAAAAGGTAAGGAAGTCTAGCTAAATTCTGATTTTTTTCTCACAATGAACACTTTGAACATTATTAGAAATTCTCTCAAATTAGACTCTTCTTCTTCTGTGTTGCCGTTGCCTTGCTGGTATCCTAAGCGGGTGCTTGGTCTACTTATGGGTAGTTCAGCACCGGATCCCAGACATCAAAGTGGAGGAGCTTTTGGATATGGAAGCACAGGAGCCCTCTCTTCTTCGTTTCGTGTCTGGGTGCCATTCATCCCAGGTTGCCGCTTTAGAGGTGACATGACATGGCCAGCAGATGGGTGCTTAACTGAAATCTAGGTCCCTTGGGGGAAACTTTGGGAGGCTCAGAATGCTTGGGAAGCCCCTAACAATGATGCCTGCTGTCCACAAAAGGACTCTGTAGTGTGGCCTCACCTTTAACAAGATGCTCACAGGCTGGACATCCATCCTCCTTCTAATGCCCAATATATTAGTCAGCTCAGGCTGCCCTAACAGAACACCACAGACTGGGTGGCTTAAACAACAGACGTTTATTTTCTTGTAGTGCTAGGAGCTAGGAAGTACAAAATCAGGGTGTCCGCAGGGTTGGTTTCTGATGAGAACTCTCTTCCCGGCTTGCAGATGGTTGCCTTCTGCTGTGTCTTTGCATAGCCTTTCCTCTATGTGCACACGCTCCTGGTGTCTTTTCCTCTTCTTATAAGGAAATAAGTCCTATTGGATTAGGGTCCACCATTATAACCTTACCTAACCTTAATTACCTCCTTGAAGGCCCCATCTCCAAATATAGTCTCATTGGGAGTTAGAGCTTCAACCTATGAATTTGGGGGGATGCAGTTCAGTCCATAGCACCCTGGATCCCTGGGATAAGGTGGCGTTCATGTACATAACCTAATTTCGTTTTCTCAACAAGCCTGTGAGGAAGTTATCAACCTCATCATTTCCACTTTACAGATAAGAAAGGTGAAGTAACTTGTTAGAAAGTGGAGGATCCTGGACTTGAACTATTTCTTTGACTCCAAATCACATGTTGTTTGAACTGCAACGTGGAATGTTGGCCTTAGGAATGTTAGAAATGAAATATTATACACTTATTGAATTAATAACTAAGGATCATGTAATGTATGGAAAATCATTTACAGAATAATGTTAAGTACAAAAAAAATAGATCACAAAAATATATGTGCGTGTAAGTACAACCATGTAAAAACTATGGATAAAACCATGCATAAAAACTATGGCTAAAACTTGAAAAGGAGCAGAAAAAATGAAGTACTTGGCCTTCAGGGTGGCAAAGTTTTACTTATTTTTTTGTTTTAAAGTTGACTTAAGGAGTACATTTTTACTTTCTTTTTTGTGTGTGTGAGGAAGATCAGCCCTGAGCTAACATCTGTGCCAATCCTTCTCTCTTTTTGCTGAGGAAGACTGGCCCTGGGCTAACGTCTGTGCCCATCTTCCTCTACTTTATATGGGACGCCAACAGCATGGCCTGACAAGCGGTGTGTGGGTGAGCGCCCGGGATCCGAACCCCGGGCCACCAGCAGCGGAGCACGTGCACTTAACCGCTACGCCATGGGGCTGGCCCGAAATACATTTTTAAATAACAGAATTTTAGCTCTCAGCAAGCAAGAGATTGGAAGTTGATGGAACTAGGAGAATCACGTGTCCATTTGTCACTAGCTTTTTTGGGACCCGGAGACTTAGGCCAACTTCCAAACACCATAGTGTTTGACAGGCTCCTTCTTTCTGAAACCTCCTCCAGCGCCCAGCTTCCCTGAGCGAACCACTGTTCTAACTCATTTGATGAGCAAGGCAGGTCCCTGTGACTTGAGAAGGCCAAAGCCAAATATGATTTAGAAGAAGATCAGCTACTACAGGGACAGAGAGTTGAAGTTGGACCACAGTGAGGAAGAGAAGAAAATATCAAATGTAAGCAAAGGTGATCCCCACAAAACTGAGTCCAGCAGTAATATAGGACTTGGGCCGGCAGGGGTTAATGCAAAAGAGGGCAAGGGTAAATAGAAAATATATGTGTAATAGGCAGTCCAGGAGACATTCCAAGAGCTTTCTGCGTTTGGAACCACTTCTCAAGACCCTCAGCCCCTCCCCTGTAAGTGGCTATGCAGGAGCCCTGCCCGGCAGTAGTGTGTTCTAAGACTCCTGGATGAAAGTGTTCTGTTTTCAAGTACACTTAACATTACTATATTGAATATATGACTATATCACCAGAGAAGCCTCCCTTTTCTTTTATCCTGGAACAAAGTCATCTGTCTCTTAATTGTGTCTGTTTTCTGAACAGGTTCTGATAATGAAGTGTGCTGTGGGTATGCAACCTCTTGATTAACAAAGGTGTTTCCACTTATCACTCCCTAGACAGTGTGCTCTGTTGTCTGAGATCAACATCCAGCTTACCTATCACAGTGGATAGTTGTCTTCCAGGCCCAGAAGTTGTTCCTTACTCAGATCTCTTTACTTTAGGAGTTGATAGATTTAGATTGTAAAAATAGATTGAAACTGTTAAACTAAATTAGTTCAGACATTTTATCAGCTCACTCAGGAGAAATAGGAGTAATTCCCAAATCCAATATGAGAAAACCCATGTTTAACAAAAAAAATTAGTAATCAATTCTTAGCTAAAGGAAGCTCCCCTATGAAAACATACTGTCATAGGATTTCTTTCATAGTGAGCTACCTATTTTACATATGGTTTAGTTTACCTAAAGGAAAATCTGTTTTCATATATTTTACAAACACATCTCTTGCATAATATTGTATACACATTTCCCCATTATATGAGATATAATGGTCCAGCCTAGGATTTGGTCTTTGACAACCAAAAAGGTTGCCCTTTATGATACCAATCTCCAAAATGTTAAGAATGTACCTCAAGCATTCTTTAACAAAGGATTTTGGATTTATTGACCATGGATTTATCTTGAATCTGTTTATGCTTTCGTTTGTGCCATTTTGGGAATTCATCTGTTGTCGTTGTTGTTGTTCTTGAGGGTAAGTGGCAATTTCATGGTCACAGGCCAACTCTTCTTCCCTTCTCTCTGCAGCCGTCATTTCACCAGGCTGATAGCGTGCGGGGAACTCGACATCATGGGCTGGTGGAGAGGCCGTCCAGGACCCGCTTCCACCCTCTTCACCGAAGGTCTGGAGACAAGCCAGGACGACAGATATCCTTTTTCACTGTCTGAGGAGAGTATATGTTTTGAAATGTTTGAAACGTTTTCAGGATTTATCTTCCCTGCAATTCCCCTTTGGCCTCAAAATCTTCATTTTATCTGATGAATAGAGGCAATAAAAATAAGTGAATTGGACACTAGAAACATCTCTGTAGGCAAAACTTGGAAAGATCATTGTAGGTGCTTACTTTATGAAAACATTGTGGAAGTTCAGTTCAGTGAAGTAACTGAGCATAAACAACAGGGAATTCAGCCCATTGCAAGGCCTTCTCAGCATTTTCTTCACAAATCAGCAAAGTCAGAGTTAAACCTGACTTTGAATCAGGTTAGAGAGATTTAGTCTAACTAAAACAGATATACAGATATGTGATTTATTTTTACTTCTGTTGACCCTGCTGTTAGAACTTACAGAGGAAATTTCATATCATTTTCAATAAATGACAATGAAAATATAAAGCTGGTATTTAGGAATATTCTCATACAGTGATGTACAATTAGACCAAACCCTATGCTGTTAAGTAGGAATAAAGAAAAGGAGACTGTGAATTCATCTGACAATTTTATTTGACCAGTACTTATCAGGGGCCCGAGGAGGGTGTACTGCTGGGTGACCAGCATTGTGCTGAGTGCTTTGGGGACACAGCACTGAGCTGGATTTGTGGGAGAGGATATAGAATGAGTGTGCTAGGAGGGCTGTTCACTCACTTCACTCTTCTCACAGGCAGGGGTGCAGGCAGGCGGAGAGAGCCGGGGTGAGTCTTACTGCAGGGCTGAGTTCCTGGCAGTGATGGTAGAGTTGGCTTCACAAGCACAGAAACCAGGAAGTAGGGGGAGAGCACTCATGTTTACTGATCATCTACTCATGCCAGGCACCGGGCTGGGCAATTTCTTTTTTTTTTTTTTTTTTTTTTTTTTTTTGGGGTGGGGTTTTTTTTTTTTTTTTTTTTTATTGCAGTAACATTGGTTTATAACGTTGCAAAAATTTCAGGTGTACATCATTGTACTTCTATTTCTGCATGGACTACATCATGTTCACCACCAAAATACTAATTACAACCCATCACCACACACATGTACCGAATTATCCCTTTCACCCTCCACCCTCCCCCCTTCCCCTCTGGTAACCACCAATCCAATCTCTGTCCCTATGTGTTTGTTTATTGTTGTTATTATCTACTACTTAATGAAGGAAATCATACGGTATTTGGCCTTCTCCCTCTGACTTATTTCACTTTGCATTATACCCTCAATGTCCATCCATGTTGTCACAAATGGCTGGATTTCGTCGTTTCTTATGGCTGAGTAGTATTCCACTGTGTATATATACCACAGCTTCTTTATCCATTCGTCCCTTGATGGGCACTTAGGTTGCTTCCAAGTCTTGGCTATTGTGAATAAGGCTGCAATGAACACAGGGGTGCATGTACCTTTGCAAATTGGTGTTTTCAAGTTCTTTGGATAAATACCCAACAGTGGAATAGCTGGATCATATGGTAGTTCTATCCTTGATTTTTTGAGGAATCTCCATACTGTTTTCCATAGTGGCTGCACCAGTTTGCACTCCCACCAGCAGTGTATGAGAGTTCCCTTCTCTCCACATCCTCTCCAACACATGTTGTTTCCTGTCTTGTTAATTATAGCCATTCTGACGGGCGTGAGGTGATATCTCATTGTAGTTTTGATTTGCATTTCCCTGATAGTTAGTGATTTTGAACATCTTTTCATGTGTCTGTTGGCCATCTGTATATCTTCTTTGGAGAAATGTCTGTTCAGGTCTTTTGCCCATTTTTTAATTGGGTTGGTAGTTTTTTTGTTGTTGAGATGCATGAGTTCTTTATATATTTTGGAGATTAAGCCGGGCTGGGCAATTTCTATGTCATTTAGTCCTCAAAACTCACTGAGCAGTTTATTTTTTTAACCCCCATTTTGCAGTGAGGAAACTGAGTTGCACAGTAACTTGGCCTAGATTCCACTGCTGAGGTTGGAGGTGCCCAGATTCAGCACAGGTCAAGCTGACTCCCCAGCCTGAGCCTCTCCTCTCCTTACACCACTCAGTTGTTCCCAGGGCCACATGCAAGGGAGACCCCGTGGGAGGAGTTTCGGGGACACAGGAAACCGCTGCTTTTCTTGCCCTCAATCTTCTTGCAGTTTTTCATCCATTTGGAGGCAAGGATAATGACCCCAGGGAGCATTTATTTCTCCTCCCTCTTCCGCCCCCAGGGGACACACCACATTTGGTACACCAAGACACCCTGACTTCTAGTTTTGTATATTATGTGGCCATTGTCTGGGAAAGTGAAGATGACAACTGATTTTGAGAATTCCTTTCTGGAATGTGTAATAACATAGGATGTTTTACATAGAATACAAAAGGGAAAGAAGAATTGAGGCAATTCTTCAGCTAATTCACACGTGTGTGGGTGGAGTAGTATATCAAACCATTGTCTAAATTGCTTGGAATTTTCAAGCAAAAGACTTTGAGTTTTTCTTTGCTTGATTTAACAATATATCTTTTTCTAACTTCTCAATTCCCTCTTTCTCTTGTAGTTGTTCTCTCTAAATATTATCATGTGTATTTATAGCTGTTTATATATTTATGGCTATCTCAGATCCTTTTTGCAGCAAATATAGTCTGCATATATACATATGTGTGTATATATATATACATATATATATACACACACACATATACTCACAACTTTTTAAACCAAAGGAATAACTTAGAAGAGGAGAGGACTGAAGAAAAGTGACAGAGAAGAATGTTCATTCATTGAAAAATAATTTAAATATCTACTAGTGTCAGGCCCCATTTTAGACACTGTAGACATAATGGCAAACACGGTATGATCCCTGCCTCAAGTTGTTCCTAGTTCCGGGGAGAGGCAGCTGGGCAAGCAAGGGGTCACCCGCGGTGTGGGGAGCTGTAGTTGAGGCAGCTCAGGGGCTGTGCGAGCTCATGGAGGGACAGCCTGAACCAGTCTTAGGGGAATGAGGAAGGCATCCTGGAGGAAAATCTGAGGCCTGAAGGATAAGTAAGAAGTAAAGGAAAATACATTCGTTTATTCAACAGATATTTACAGAGCCCCTTCTCTGTGCAAGGTACTGTTTTAAGCACTGTGACTCCATAGTGAATAAGACAGACATGTCCCTGCCTTCTTGAGTTTACAGTCCTGTGGGAGAGGACAGACAGCAAACAGGTTAAAAAAAAAAAAAGTTAAGAGGAAAAATACCTTCAGATGATTGCAGGTGATATCAAGAGAGGAAGACAGCTGGGGAGGGAATGTTCCACGCAGAGGGGATAGCTTGTGCAAAGTCCCAGAAGGGGAGACTACACTGTGTGTTCAGGGGACTCTGTCTCTTTTCAGGTAATATATCATAGGGTATAACTTGACCCTATATGTGGGTCAACTTGTGAAAGCAGGAGAAAAGCAGATCAACTCCCAAGGGAAGGAGATGCAAAAACAAAATTATTATACAGAAAAATTAAAGTTGTTCTCAGACAGTGCAAGTCTGATTCACAGGTCATGAGACATCTCTCTGTATTCTCTTATTAAGCACCTAATTGGGTCCTGGGACTGGACATCTGCTGATGCAAAAAAAGGTCCCTTAGTGTAGGCCTGCCAATTAATGAACAGTGAGTCTCTTTTGAGAAATCAGGGGACCATGAGCTCCTGGTAAAATATAAAAGTGGGATGATTTTATATAGATGATATTAATATGTTCAGGAGAACTTGGAGGAGGAGGGCTGTGATTCCGTCTTTCCTTTCATGGCCTGGATTCTGTTGGTTGGGAAATAATTTGCTTAAAATGGTTGCCTTTCACACTTATCTGTTACCCCCTTAATGAAGTTTTGTCATTTGAAAGTATTAACACTGGTTTGAATCTTTGTTAGATCAAAAAGAAAAAAATGTATTCAGAATTCTCTTCTTACAGCTGTTTCTTGGCTTGGGTGTTATTTTAGAACAGGCAAACTGGCCTAGACAAGGGTTCAGTCCTGTGATGTAGTGATCTCAAATAAAACGCACATTGTTTAACAAATATTCCAGCTTCCTCAGAGTGGGCAGCCACAACAAGCAGAGTCCTGGAACAGGGAGATTCCTTCTGCAGTGGGCGGCCATAACCACACAGAAGACTAGTGCAGTGGGCTTTGCTGTTGGCCTGGGGGCCACCACAAGCGAAGACCAGGGTTCTGCTGCAGCTGGGCCTGGGCCAGGGGCTGCACTCGAGGCAGAGGAGAGGCACTGCCTGTGCTGGTGCCTGGCTGGGGGCCTGGGCCTGAGAACTCAGAGTAGAAGCTCTTCTGCCTTCCTGCAGCTGCTCGTGTCTTCAGCAGCCCTCTCCTCACTCTTCAGGGGCAGCAAACATGTATCCGAAACACCGTCGTGTTGAATTTCTGAACTATTAACATCAGTTTACAGCAAATGTAGTATTATCTCAGACCTGTGGGTAATACACTGAAAAAGAAGGGGACATGCAGAAGAATTATGAAAAATGCCTTCCTCTAAAAGAGATGTGTTTTTAGAAATAAAAACAAGTGTTTAGAGAATTTCTGATTTGTATTCCCAATACTGTTTGAGAGTATATCTAGGAAACTGGCATGGACAGTCGTGGAGAGATTCCTTAAGACCTGCCATTGTTAGGAATGGCTTTCCTCTTTGGAATAGGCCTCACTTTGATTCTCTTCATACAATGAGATGAAAATTTTAGGACACTGGTCTGTAGAACACTGTTTCTTTGAAATGCCTGGCCTATTACATTTGAGAAATGTAATAGGTGCCCTCCAAGAGGGTGCCGTATTCTGTGTGCCCTCTTGGAGCTTCACAGTTTATATTAGGGGTCTGAGAAGCCCTGCAGTTAAGAAACTTCTTATCTTTAACCCAGGGTTTCCAAAACTTGTTTGATCACAAACCCCAATTTTTACCTAACACCCATTAGAGATTTCCATCTCAAAGGACAAGGAAATGCTAGTCTTTAGAGTTTTAAGGGAAAAATATTCTGACTTCAAAATTCCACATGCAACCTATTTGTCACTCGTGTGCTGAGGTAAACAGGAAGAACTTCTCATATATGCAAAGACTCAAAATAATCCCACTATATCATATACCTCCTTTAAAGTTTGACTTTAAGATGTTTTCTAGCAGGACATAGTTGCAGGTAAAGGGACAAGAGGAAGTAGAGTGGTCGTGAAGACGTGGTTGAGAAATTAAGAAGGAACCTAATTGTGACCAGTTTTATGTATTAAATCTGACCCTGGAACTCGTCTTGGTAAGTGGGTCCTATGAAGCAGACTCCGAGTTCACTTACTCTGCCAGCTGCATGGAAGGTCACAGGCCTGCCCCACAAACTCCGTCCCTGGTAGAACACAGAGTTACAGGGGGCAGGAGAGAAAATGGCCAGCCTCCTGGCTGCCCCTAGAAGGCAGTTCCTGAGCCCTGCCCCAGGTGCACTTACCACAAGGGAATAGGAAGCCAAAAGAAGACCCCTGGCTGTGCTCACAGCCACCAGGTGGGCAGCATGAAAAAAGACAGGGTGGAACTTGTTTGCAGCTTCTGTCTCAATAACCTCACCCACGGGTAGGTGGGCCGACAGATATTCTCTCTTATCAACAGAAAAGCTCCTCCCCTTCCTTTGGGGAAGAGTGAGTAAGAACTTCCCCCCCAACACTCTCCGAGTTGAGGAGTAGGACTCGGAGTCCCCTTGTCAATGGATTGAGGCAGGAGCATGAGGAGAAGGATTTTCCTCCATAGAACTGCAGGGACTTGGAAAAAGAGAGAATAGACTGGATAACTCGGAGATTTCCAGCTAGAGCACCTAGGTAGATGGCACCCTCCATTACATATGATGGGCTATAAGAAGAGGAGCAGATGAGAGGAAGAATGATTAGTTGGGTTTTAGATGGAATTTGAGGTACTTTTGGTAGAAAAGCCAAGTAGGCAGTTGGAAATATGGACTTGGAGTTCATGAGAATTATTGGGAGCTAGAGGTATGGATTTGTGAGTTACTGGACTGTGGGTGATAGTTGGAGCCAAAGGCGTGGTTGGGACTGACTAAGGCGAGCATGGAGGACAGGAGTGGGGGGCCCGCTCTCAGAGTCTCCTAGGGCACTCTTCCCAAGGTGTCTGCCCAGGGTCTCCAGCCTTCTGCCTTGCTCCCACTCTCAGTGGTACCCAGTGATTTGGAGGCCCTTCCCCCCACCCTGTTCCTTTGAGAGCAATGCAAACAGATGTGGGCTGAGAGGCTATGAGGCCTGCAGAACTCAGGGAGCATCAGGATTGAAGGCAGAGGAGGAGGAACCAGCAAAGGAGCTGAAAAGGAGTGCACGGGGGATAAATAAAAAGGTCCATGATAATGTGGGATTGTTTTTTAACGTAGGCTTAACTAACTAAGGATGAGGAGCTGGTCTGGCTTGTTAAAAACCCTGTCACCTGTGCTGCTCTTCTGTTTGTTTGCTGGCAGCTGGCAGGCACTCCAAAAGTGTTTGTTGAATTAAATGGTAAATTCAAGTTTATAAATAAGAGTACTTTTTTCTGTCTTTAAGTTGTTTTGTAGGGCATATCAGTGTTGTGAAGTAATTAAAGCTATGTAAATGAAGTTTTCTAACATCTTCAGAAGAACAAATAAACCTTTTCTAGGTTTTCCTTCTGTTGAGTTTAACCGTAAGCTAGTAACATTCGTGGTTCTCTTGATGTCAACTGTTCTTGGGTTTTTAAATACCCATTAAATGAGATGTGACAGTGAGAATTAAGAGAGCTCAGAGGTCATGTCTTTAAACTTTTGATGCCTTAGCCTAGTCATCTTAAAAATTTCAGGAAATTACTACATTTTCATTTTGTTAATTTATATTAGAAAGGCTAAAATACTAACTTATACCTCAACATTGGAATAATCAATGCTTGATTATTATGTTACTATTATACCACTGCATTCTAATTTGTATGACCAGTACTGGATAATTGGACTTAATGACTTTAAGGGTGGCAGTGTACTGAGAGAAGTGGTAAACTTCTGCTTCATGACATTAAGCTTTCTGGACAGAGATCCATCAAACTCTGCAGAAAAGAGAAAGGCAGATAACCACAGGTGATGAGACTCACTGCCTTCTTCCTAATGGCTCTGCCAATTAAAATACTGATACACTTCGTCTCTCAGAGGGACTTCTTATTTCTCTGTCACCGTTTCCTCTTCTGTCTCCTACTGTGGTCTGTTCTCATCTGTTCTTCATGTACATTAAGCCTAGTAGTTAACATTGAAGAAGTACCTCTCTTTTGAAATATCTGTTTTATTGTATTGACTCGGTTTCAGATTAAGAAATAAGAAGACTAGATACGACACAACTAATACACAGAAAGTGAAACTTGTGATCATAATGCTTCTCCTGGCAAAGGAAGCACCTCACGCGAAATCATTAAGAACTCATTGGTGTCCACGTTTTACTAACACCAGGCCTGCACGATCCCCTCTCCATCAAGGCTCCCATTTTTTCCTGAGCCCAAGCAGATGATGCCTTCTTCTATAAAGACTCACTAAAAATTTTTTAGCAGGAGAGTAATATGATTAAAAATATTTTAAGAAGATTGTTCTTTGGGCGTATTTAAATAAATTAACCAAAACGGCTCTACTGCACTCAGCGTGTACAGTGCAGCATCACATTTGTATCTTCATGTGTCTGGAATATGTTCTGAGGCATGGTAGACCCAGTGGAGAATGCAGAATTTATAAAACAGAGCCCCTGACAACCTAAGGAAATTAACATTTCTTCACAAATTGAATGCAGCTTTCTTTTGATTATAAATAACAGGAACCCTCCTTAACTTGAAAAAAGGAAATTTATTGGCTTATGTCACTGGAAGCCCAAGGGCTAAATCCAGGGATTCATACAGTAGTATCGAGACTCGGTATTTGTGAGGTGCTACGTCTGTGTTGACGTCATGAGTAGACAGGCTTTCTCCAAGGAGAGAAACCCAGGTTCACTTGGTCCTCAGGCTCACCTCTTCAATTGGGGGCACTCCTTTTTTACCCCTCAATAGCACTGTTTTTGGTCCTGTTTGTGTCGTGAGCCCATCCCTGAACCAATCACTATTTCCAGTGGCATGAGGTACCTTGACTGGAAGTACTGGCCTGGGTACATCCCATGGGACAGGAAGGCCTGCAATGAATGACAGCCTCACCAGGTTTGGGGTCGGGGTGGAGGGAGTTCTTGAAAATAAAAGATGCTGGGCAGGCAAAAAAAAATAAGAAACACCCCACAAGAATCATGCAAAGACAGCACTGGTCAGAAGATAGAGGAATAGACTTTCCAGAGGAAGTTGATAAGAGCAAGCATGGAGGAAGAGCTAGAGGGTGTAGAGATAAAGATAAGAACCGAAAACTCAGTTGTTTAACTCTCCACCATTCCAGCTTCTTAATTCTGCTTCACCTTTCCGTTGATTTTATTTTTCCTTTATTAAAAATTCTACTTTGATGGTAGTACTTTTGGAGCCATTTACTCCTCACAGCCCCTGGATGAGAGTTGGCCAAGGTAAGCAAGCTGTATTGTAAAAGATATGATGGGCATGTGTTATTTTCAGATAGTTTTACTTGATTTTATCCACCTTGAATGTTTTAGAAATTTCTAATATAAGGCATAGAATCTTGTTTTCTCTTATAAAACTTAAGTCTTTCCATGTATAATCATAGGGTTATATGAAAGTCTAAAATGAAAAGTTATTTAAGTAAATCTAGATCTTCATACTTAAAACCAAATGAAAACACATTTTTAACACATTTACTCATAGAATACTCCAATTTGGAATTCTTATATTTGAGACATGGAAAAATAAATTTCTTTTCTCAGGGTGTCTTAGTAAGCCACTAAAAAGAACAAAAGCTTTAGTCAGCTCCTAAAATGCTAATTTGCACAGGGGATTTGATTTAGGGTCTCTGAGTATTTTTGTATGTAGAGTATATATACAAAAAAATTGAGTATTTTTGAGTCTAGAGGGTGGTAGAATATAAAATTGACTGAAAAGACTGCTACATCCATTGTGTGTGTGGTATCATTTTCAGATCACTAAGTCAGATTTAGGAGTCATTTGAAATGTACATATTGAAGAAATTGAGCTCTCTGGGTTGAGGTCTCCTCTCCATCCCTTCTCTGGGCAAATACTGGCTGAGCCCTTACTGTGGGTGATCAGGACCTGGCAAAGGTCAGCATTAAGATGGGTAACAGCGGGCTCCGACCTCAAGTAGGTTTTCAAGTACTCTCAAGAATCTTGGGATCCAAGGTTGTAGAATTAATATAATATTGTGTTTTAAATCATAAAAAGACATCTCCAAACTGATATTTTAAAAATCTGTATCCAAGAAAAAATATCTTATGCTTTCCAGAGCCCTGGGATTAGTTAGATTAATATTTTCATAAACTGGGTAACTGCAACATTTATATTCCTCTTCATGGCCATCTGTATGGGAATGCAAAGTTTTTGCGTCCGGGCAAAAGTTTTTGCCAGGGCACCCCGTACACACACATACTTGGGGTGTGTGATAAGGAGTAATTTTTTATACATCTGGAGTAAGATCTCAGATCCCCTAGAGAGGAGTTGGTCGTAGATTTGAACTGTTTCAAAAGGCATTCAAAGGTGCCTGTTTGCTCTTCCTAAACAAACAAACAGAAATTCCTTATATGCCCACCTGGCTAATCCTGTTCTCAAGGATGTGGTAGCTTTTATCATGGAAATCAGAAATCACAGGGACTGGAGAGATCCTTCAGTCTGACCTCATTTTAACAGCGATGAGCACAATGAGTGAGGCTTGGAGCATTCTGCAGACTTTCCTCGGTTCTGCAGCTGGTGACTGGACGAGCCGGTTCCCAGACCCAGGCCTGAGGCTCTCCTTTACTCCCTGTGGATTGAACTTCTCTTCTTTTTATGTTATTCATATTCATATTTTATGTTATGTTATTTTAAAGGCAGCAGCCTCCTTGGAAAGAAGAAAAGCATCCTGGGTTCAGGCTAACATCTGCACTTAACAGGTACATGGGTTGTTTCCTAGTAGAAATAAATTTTAAAGAAGACCAATCCATTTGATTGTCCTGGTGTTCTTTATATATTATCTAGTTGCCAGGGTATGTTCAGATCAGTTGTGGGTTTATATAAGTGTTAAGGAAAAAAAAAAAAAATCTCCCACCATTTATTGAGTGTCTGCACGGGACAGTATAGCACAGTGTAAGAACAAGAGGGCTGAGCGGGACTAGAGTTTGCCTCTTAGTCAATTTGTAACCTTGAACAAATTATTTAACTTCTTCATGCCTCAGTTTACTCATCTGGAAAAGGAAGATAATAGTACCTGTGTCTATGGGGGATGGTTGTGAGGGGATGGTTGTGAGGATTAAATAAGATGTATAAGACACATGGGAAGCGTAAGTATTCAATAAATGTTAGCTATTATCATGATCATGACTGCAGTGGTAAGTGTTCTACGTAGGTCATTTTTTTCAATCCTGATAACATCCTACAGGAATGAGTATTATTTTCTCTTCTAAGAGGTTAAATGACTTGTCTAAGGCCACTTAGCTAATATGTGATGGAACTGGGATTTAAAAAAAAGCTTTTTATAGTGCAAAATTTTAAACATACACAAAAGGGAAAAGAGTTATAAGTCCCTGGGCCCATCCTTCAGCTTCAGTACTTATCAGCATTCTGCCATCCTTGTGTCTTTCTACCCCGCCACCTCCCAGCCCCATTCCACCAGTGGCTAGATACAGTATTTCACCTGTAAATATCTCTAACAGTATAAGGCTGATCAGAACGTTTTTAAAAAAAACATAACCACATGCCATTATTATACTTAACAAAATTAACAATAATTCCTTCCTATTATCTAATATCCTGTCCATATTCAGATTTTCCCAGTTGTCTCTCTGCATTTGCTATTCTTTTGAGTCTCTTTGAATCTGTAAAGGAGCTGGAATCTGAACTCAGGGCTCTCTGATCCCAGAGTCTACACTCTTCCTGTTGCATCACACAGGTTCTGAACTGCCTCTTCCCTCGTCTGAATACAACACGGCCATGGTGCTCAGTGTCAGGCCACAAGGCTCAATGGTCACATGAGGCTGTTACCTGGAACAGACCACAAAGAAGCATTTTAGGCTAATTCAAAGTTGCTCACAAGTTCTTTTTATGGCAGTTTGACCCTTGGATGAGATAAGTAAATAATCATCTCTTGGAGTCAAGGCTGTGTATAAGTTGGAGCTGTCTGGGAGAATTTGAGAAATTTGCTATATATCAGCAGTTCCCAAACTTCTTGTCTTAGGACTCTTTTACAATCTTAAAGACCGTTGAGGCCCTCAAAGAGTATTTGTTTGAGTGAGTTTATATTTTATATTTTCTATTGATATTGGAAATTAAATTGACAGATTTATAAAAGATACTAATTAATACATTTAAAAATAACAAAATGACAATAATAAACTCATTACATGTCAACATAATACTTTTTTAAGAAGCAGTTATATTTTCTAAAACAAAAAAATTACTGAGAAGAGTGGCATTGTTGTACCTCTTATAAATCTCTTGAAGATAGCTGGATTCTCTGTTGATACGTTCAGTCTGTGGTGCCATCACCCATCACACAGCTGCTGGAAAACGCTACTGTGCTCGTGAGGGAAGGAGAGTGAAAGGGCAAAGACTTTAACCTTGCATTCTCCCTGGAAGGGTTTGAGAACCACTGCTATAGGTGATCCTTCATATAAGGAGTTATTCTCAAGTAGAGAAGAATCTAGTGCAGCCACAGAGAACACACTGGTCACAGTGATCTTCTGAGTTGCGAGGAAGAACAGGAAGTTAGTTAGAGGAAGCCATGAATCTGAGGTCTTCCTTGTTGAAATAGATCATTATTGCCATTAGCTTCAAAGTGTAAGACTATGCAAGTACAAATTAAAATCTTTTTGGATGTGGGAGATCCTCAGAGGGTGTCATTGATGTAAGGGACTTCAAGTAGGTCCCAAGCCCCCATTTTATGGATAATTGTAAATCAGTTTTTCTTGCCTTCTCTCCTGTTGGTAATTTTCAGCAAAGAATATTGCATTTTCACTAAGGAAAAATGGATTTTCAGCCAGACTCTCTCCTCCTCCCCTTAGGACCAATTCTGATTCTGCTCTTCATACGAGTGCTCTGAGCACCAAGCCCCAGGACCCCTATGGAGGAGGGAGCCAGTCGGCTTGGCCTGCTCCATACATGGGTAAGACACACAGGCCCACTGCTAACAGCATCTCGGCTTTCTCATTCTGTCCTTTAGGAACCAAGAGGAGAAAAGCTTAAGTGGTGCATGCACTTTGACAGTCTTCAGAGAAAAAGCTCCTAGCAGGGGAAATGTGTGTGTGTGCATGATGAAATGAAAATGGAGCTTACAACATCATGTACTTCTCTCCTGCCTCTTCCACTGTGGATTCTCCCTTCTTGGCCCTCGAGCTTCCTCTCCTCCCCCACCACACTCCCTTTTTTAGGCCTTCGTCATTTTACTTGGACTCATGGTAACTTTCTAACTGGCTCCTTATTTCTGGTCTTATATCCCTCTAATCCAGTTGTATGTTGGGTTCTCTAAAGGTCCTGTTTTCCCATCCAGGATCTGAACAAACTGAGAAATCAAACCAGAAGTGACAGATGGAGCTCAATATCACCTTTATTACTGACAAGAGGAAATGGCTTCTCTCTGTGGGTCGATGGCCTGTTATGACTGAACCCCAGAATGAGGCCGACTCCCCCAGTGGCCAGCGGCACTGGCCCAGGGTGGCCTCCTTGGGAGAAGTACTGAGGACAGACTGAAGGGCAGGGCCAAGCAGAGAAGACACGCTCTCTGAGAGAAGGCACGCTCCTGAGCAGGAGAAGAGGAAGCCGAGCTGGAGCCGGGCATTGCCTGCTCAGTTGTGCCCCATTCTGCCGGTCGGGTCATTGTTCCACCTCCCTTGGGCCAGAGTGAATAACAGGGTGGAGAGAGGCCAGAGTGCCCAGGAGTGGGGAAAAGGCATATTCACACCATCTGCATCCAGAGTGAACTGAAATCTGGTCATAGTACTCTCCTGCTTAATCCTGGTTGCTACCCCCTCACCTCCAGGAGAGAGTCCAGATCTCCCAGTTTGGAACCACAGGAGCTCCAGGATCAGGCCCTCGCCTACCTCTCTCCCTTCTCTCCTCACTCACCAGCCTCACTCCTCGAGTCAGCCACATGAACCACTTTGGGTTCTACTAATGTTTCTTCCTGTTCCCATGTCTTCCTCTTTTAATTCACTCCTGGCCTACCAAATCAACACCCTCAGCTTTGTCACCATTCCTATGGTGCCATCCTTGACCTTCCTCTCTTTGCCATCCCAGAACTTACCCATGTCCTTCTAACATCCCAAAGCTCCTACATATAGATGGTTATCTTGGCACCTATGTCACTTGACTGCCTTTCTCATGGATGCGCTTCTCTCCTTCTGCTCAGTGTAGATTTCTTAATGTCAGCATCTTAATGGTCTTGTCTCCAGCATGGGCCTGGCACAGAGGAGCCCTCAGTGATGGAGAAGTGTGGAGAAATTACACAATGGCTGACGTGTAGAGCTCTCGCTAAAACATACTGTGGGTGCTGACATCTCACCAGCACTTGAAACAAGACTGGTTCACTAAGACACATTCCAAGCCTGCCTTTCTGGGGTTTATAATCCAGTGGGAACAATGGTCTTGAATTACCCATTCCATATGCAGGTTTATTCTTGTCCACAAGCGGGGCTATATGTTTGGTCTTGAAATGGGGGAATAAATAAATCTTTGGCCAAGATAATACCAGCTTTTCTGGTTTTCTTAAGTTTTTAGACAATTTAAAGCCTAAATAGTCCCTGTTCCTTCTGAGGAGAACATTCAAGGTCTTATTTCCTTGCATATAGTGGGGATGGGATTTAAGAATAATTGTTGCTGTATTTGTTCCCTTGTGCAATTCAGAGATAACTACATTTGCCTGAACAGTTGTTTGCTTGTAAAGTATGAGATCTTTTAGAATTGTTTAGGGCTCTCTAGCTATGTTTCCACACGTGGGAATATGAGAGTAAAGCTGGCAATTTTTTTGGAATTAGATGTGGGTCCACTGCTCACTGCTTAGGAAAGTGGGATATCTGGGAAGATGGAGTAGTTTAGCTTCAGGATAGATGAGATGGAAATATATAAACAAAGCAGAGACTGTGATCAGTGGTGCTGCCCAGTGAGTGCAGCGAGATCTGAGTCTCCCTGAACTGTGAAGGGACCAGATTGATAGGTTTTTACCCTGGAACCTCGAATGAAGAGCTACATTTCTGCCTCTGCCATTCCTTCGTGTTGCCCTCTGTGCAAAGTTTATGCTTCTCTGGAAAGGGCCAGAGACCTAGAAAGAACAAGGAAATCATGAGTAATTTAAGTAAGGAGCTTGTGAGGCCTTCATGCAGAGAGAAAAGAAAGTAACTAAAGAAAGTGATTGAGTGAAGTATTTATGCTGAGTGATGTAGCCTCTGAGGGAAGAGGTGAGAAGTGTCAGAAGGTGTGAGTGAGGATGAATAAGGATGGCAAATGAATGTAAATGTTGATTCTGGTAGACAGAGCCCTAAGAAAAGCAGAAAGAAAGAACGAAATCCTGGAGCAGAATTCCTGGGTTGACGTGAGAATCGTGGAGCTCAGTCTTTTCAAATCAGCAGTTAGAAATTGTTGGGCCACAGTATCTGATAACCATGGAAGGTGGGCTGACCTCCAGCCCAAATGTCTGAGCTGTGTGCCTGCTTCTGCATAGTTGCCCTGCAAGTATAGCAGAACTCAGAAACACATCCAAATATGGATGTGTTTACAGGGGAAAGCCAGTGTGTTTAAAATATTATTCAAGTCTCCAAGGATAGGAATTATTTCTGGAGAATTATATTTGTTGGTGAGAGCTATTTTAAATAGTTTCATGTATTTTCCCCCTGTAATTCATTAAAGTTTTTTATTTTCTTTCCTTTTGGATTTTGAAAATATCAACTAGCTTTGCAAAAAGGTATTTCTTATTATAGGACCAACCAAATAAAGTCAAGATTAAAAAAGTGATGGGAAAATATAATTGAAGCCCAGAAATGGGCTCCATAGCAGAAGCAATAATAACTGCTCTTTCCCTGGGAATCTGTCCTTAGCATAATGATGTATCCTCAATTAATGTTTCCACTATTTATTTATTTTTTTGGTTGTGAGCAGATAATAAGGGAGCATCTGCTCATAGCTTAACTACGTGAGCAATAAACTGTGATACATTCATGAGCAAAGGTTTGTGTCCCAAGAAAATAAAGCCATTAATCTGATACATGGGGCCGGCCCCGTGGCTTAGCGGTTAAGTGCGTGCGCTCCGATGCTGGCAGCCCAGGTTCGGATCCCGGGTGCGCACCGACGCACCACTTCTCTGGCCATGCTGAGGCCGCATCCCACATACAGCAACTAGAAGGATGTGCAGCTATGACATACAACTATCTACTGGGGCTTTGGGGGAAAAATAAATAAATAAAAAAATTAAAAAAAAAAAATTTAAAAAATCTGATACATGTTTAGTAGTTTTCATAATGGTCATTGAGTTGCATGACAGTTAGGCATACATGGTAAGCAATTGATGTAAATGACAGAAGTAAACTTTTATTCAACCAAGCAAGATTTTTGTGATTTCTCTCTTCTTGTTTAATTATCCAGCGTCTTTAAGGAGAAATATTGATCATTTCCCTGGCAGCATGTGCACTTTAATTATCATTTCACACACACACACAGACGGGCAAGCGTAAGGACTCTCTGTGACACTTGCCCTGTCCCATAGCCCAAGACTGTCTCCTAACTCCCCTCCACTCATCACCAGCGTGTGGGGGAGGGGGCTGGGTGGTCCCTGTCCTTTCAGGGAGCAGTCTAGAGCTGAGGGCAGGAGAGTGCGTGAGAGCTCTAGATGCTGAGTACTGCCAGCTTTGGGGAGGACAGCCCTGACTGAGCTCCTCCTCTGGGAAGGAAGTGTGCTGGACCTCTCTGACCTTTCAACAAGTCATTCAACACCTTTCAATAGCTCAGACCTGCAGAGTTAAGGAGAAGGTTTAAAATGCAAATAGCCCTGAAAGAAGTGAGCCTGTTAGTGACACTTGATTGCACAGACAGGAGGGAGAGGGGAGGGGCACAAGCATCCCAGATCTAAAGAGGCAAAAGGTGTCACCCAGATGGCAGGAGGGCCCAGAAGGGGGAGGCTGAAGCACCAGAGGCTTCTTAAAGGACACACTCTGGGTAAGTGATCTACCTCTTGTCGCCCATCTACTCAGCAAATCGAGACGGTGCTAGGACTTATTTTAGATCCATCTGGTACAGGAGCGAGGAGTGGGAACATGGTCTCCATTACACTGAGGAAGTCAGCCCTCGGGGCTGTGAGACCCAGAGGTTTCCTGGAAGACAGCCTTGCTGTCCCATCCCTTGCAGGACTGATGCAAATGAGTTTTCTCTGTTTCCAGATATGCCGTCAAAACTCACTCCTGTTTATTTTTAACCCTTTATTTGTAGTGTCATAGCCTATGATATTATTTACCCAGTAATAAAAATCCAGGCTTCAGTATTTTGGTTATGTGTTAGCTTGATGCTAATGTATCAGTTACCACCACCACCATCCTTCTAGTCACTGAAACTCAAAACCTGGGAGTCATCTTTAATTACTCTCATTCCCACACCCCTCACACCCATTCCTTAGCCAAGTCCTGTTCATTCGATCCCTGCAGTGTGCCTCAAATCTGCCTCCTCTTTTCTATCCTCACTGCCAGTACCCTGCTTCCTTCTTGCCTGGACTGTTATATTGGTTTCCTACCTGGTCTCCCTGGCTTTAGGCTTTCTCCTTTCAATCCATCGCATACTTGGCTGCAAGAACGTGTTCTCCAAAGCTTAGCTGTAATCATGTCGCTTTTCTAATCAAAACCTTCTCTTCCTACATCATGCCACATTACTGGCAGCCTCCTTCAATCCAGCCTTATCCCCCATCGTTCCTCCTGTCTTGTGCTCCAGCCAGACTCACCGTTCTCTGCCCATGCTGTACACGCTTTCCTCTTCCTCCTCCTGTCTTTACACTGGGGCATCCCCTTCACCCTCACTCCCAAGTGTGTACTCCCTCCAGGTACAGCAAGTTGGACATTCTGAAGGCACACAGGCCAGAGTTCTAGTACCAGAACTTACCAGCAGTGTGATCTTGGGGGTGACAGTAGCGCCTACCTCGTAGGATTGCTGTGAGATCATCTGTGTAAAGTGCCTGGCATGTAGGAAGCAAACAGTATTGCTGGCTCTTGTTATTATTATTATTCTCATCATTATCCTTCAATGCCTAACTTAGGTGTCACCTCCTCCATGAAGCCGCCTGTTCCAGTCTGACAGAGAGGATGGCACTAATGGGGTATCTTGTGGGGTATCTGCTCACCACTCAGGCAGTTTCACAAGGTAGTCCTCAGTTGAGTCCTTATGTTCCAGGGACAGATCAGCCTTACTTTAAACTGAAAACTGGCCTTACTAATTAAATCTAGAGGGATTGGTGTCTTGATGATGAAGAGATGCTTCAACATACCATACCAGGTGGCTGTATAAAACTTAGTTTTTTATTTGTATTAGGGTATTTACTTTTGAGCGATCAGAATGGTCAGGTTCCCTGCCCTTTTTCAATATGAGGGTCCCAGGGAAGCCAAAATATGCCTCAGAGCATGCCTCCCCTCCTTCGGCAGTGCCATTGCAGAGCCGAGCCTCTGTCTCTCTGCACCTCACTTTCTAGTGTTCTTCTGCTCACGTTGCCTTTCTTTAGATGTGTGAAATCATGATTAAGCTATCACCTCGTCCAGGTCTCTCAGAGAGTGAGGGACCATCTGTAGTTGAGTCCTCTGAGGTGATTATTAAAAATGTAGATTCGTGGGCCCATTCTCACACTTTCTGAATCAAAATCTCTGAGGTTTGGGCCCATGAATCTGCATTTTAACAAGCTTACCCAAGTGGTCTTTTTGTGCCCTCAAGTAAAGTTTTAAATCACTAACTTAGATTCTCTTTCCATAGGCCTGAGAGAAATTCTGTATTGATGAATGTGTTTCATTTGTCCACCTCTTAGTGCTCCTAGGGATTCTCAGTGTTGCCTGGCTCCTGGGCTCCACTAGAATTTTATATCTTCCACCTGTGTTAGAGAAGTTGCTTCCCTGTCCTGTCTTCTCACCTACACTGTGTCACCTGGCCACACCTAGCACTTACTCATTGCAGGAACTTAAATGCATGTTGAATGGATGATTATAGACATTTTGTTTAAGTTTTATAGACTAATCAGGTTAACTTATAGATTAAGCTCATCCAGAAACATATCTAAACTTTAAATAAGCTACATTTAAAAATTTTATCCTGGTTTTATATTGAAAACTCTTTTGGTATATTTGATTTCTCCAAGGAGAATGCTAACATATTACATTCTTGGCACGATGCTTTGGTTTTAGCTTAGAGCAATAGGATATACAATACTTGTCACCTGTAATATATTTTATAGATTAAAAATACTTTATTCAGACAGAATTTATTCCAAGTCAAATTTTTAAAACTTTGCAAATAGCTATTCATATATACTATTTAAATTGACTGAGACACCATATAAACTTCTTTTTAAAATAACTTGACTGCAAAAATATTTATAACAATATACAGCATGGACTTGCAAATCAGAAAGAGTGACTAATTCATGAACAAATAAAAATGAAAGCACCACATAAACGTGTGTTTTTTCTTTCCCACTAGGTTTCTGTGATGGAGAGAATGATGTACATGGGGAAGGTATGAACTGATTTTGCCTACCTGTGCTGAGTGGGATACTGACCGTAGTGTACATAACCTTTTTCAATGTCTGAACTAATTAATACTTATGTTTTCAGGACTTCCCCAAATGCTGATAACTTCTGATTGGTTTACTTTTCTGAGATGCTCTACAAAATTAAGGCTAGCCGTGATGAAGGATGAGAAGGAAAATGTGTAGTTAGATACAAGGTTCCTCATCATTACAGTCCCATTAGTCCCTCAGTCATAAGGTTGTGCAGAGAAGCAAAAGTTGTAACCACATGAAAATATTAATGAGTTGGTCACTTAACCCATTAGTTATTCCAGTATCCTTCCCTCCTCAGCTATCTGTCTCTGCAAAACTTAGAAAGTTTTGTGAGTCAATAACTGACAGATGGAAATAAACAATTTGAGGAAAATGCAAATTAATTGCAAAATGAAATTGCAGATCTTGTAGAAGGTACTGAGTTTCCTAAAACTGGTTAAGTAACGTTGAAGGTCTACTGAAATGACACTCAAAGCCACTGACAAATGAGGGTCTGACACAGTTCATTTATTCATTCAGTACCAGGCAATGTTTCCTTTTCCCTAAATCTTTATAATCTGAAATTTAATTTTCATAATCTGAAAGTGAACAGCTAAATTAGGTTTATGTATCACAGAGATAAGGACTCACAGGGAATATGATAAATGAGGAACATCTTGTACCAGAGGCACAATTCTCTGTCATTATCCTATCTACTCCTTTTCTGGGCAAGCCATTTTAGGCCATGAATAAAATCATGAAAAGTTGAAACGTCAATAAATACCTAATCCACTAGGACAGAAATAAAGAAATGGCTTCAAGGTTGTTTGCATTCCCCCAAATGAATTCTCTGAAGAATTCCCAACCAATCTTGGATATGAAAAGAGACTAAAAACAATGAACTTCTTTAAGGAAACAATCCCCTTTAAGGCATTAGAGTCTGCCCCAGCCATATTCCTGTGGCCAAACTTTTTTTTTTTTTGTGAGGAAGATCAGCCCTGAGCTAACATCCAAGCCAATCCTCCTCTTTTTTTTTTTTTTTTTTGCTAAGGAAGACTGGCCCTAGGCTAACATCCATGCCCACCTTCCTCCACTTTATATGGGACGCCGCCACAGCATGGCTTGCCAAGCGGTGCGTTGGTGAGTGCCCGGGATCCGAACCAGCGAACCCCAGGCCGCCGCAGCAGAGTGCGCACACTTAACCGCTTGTGCCACTAGGCCGGCCTCCAAATCCTCCTCTTTTTGCTGAGGAAGACTGGCCCCATCCGTGCCCATCTTCCTCCACTTTTATATGGGACGCCACCACAGCATGGCCTGACAAGCAGTGCGTGGGTGCCCACCCGGGATCCGAACCCTGGGCCGCCAGCAGTGGAGCGCGCGCACACTTAACCGCTACACCACTGGGCCGGCCTCTCCTGTGACCAAACTCTTATGAGAAGTAGCCTAGAGTCACGAAGCCACCTCACTCAGCCCTTGAAACTTTTCCTGTCATCCAACAATACCTTGCAGAGCAATTTTTTATTCTTGATTCTCTTGTTGTATTGCTCTATGAAGGCCATCAAAGCCCATTGTTCCTGTCCTCCAGGCTGTTGAGAGTCAGCTGTGGGGCCAGTGTTTACCAGGCACTGTTTTAAGCTCTGCCCAGCAGTGAATAAAATAAAAGCCCTCCCTCATGGAGTTTACATTTCTGAAGCAGTTTATATGTATTAACAATTAGGCAAGGTAACATTTGAAGGAAAGGGACTCAAACAAGAATATTGACAAAATAAGGTTTCCAAAAGAGAGTGATTTGAATATCAGGATTGAGAGAAACACCTGGGAGCATTGATGAAGCCTGGAATATCTGAGCAGAACTGACTGCTGTATGAAGTTGCCGAGTAGGTTAACTGTAAAGAGCATTGTGTCATTCTGAGAAGTGACTTTGAAATTGTGGTCTCTGTTTTAAGTGACTTCTTTCTGGGGTCTGCCATCCTTGGGTAACAGGTTGTCCTGTGTGGGGCTAAGACAGGACAATCACGACAGTCACACTGGAGCTTACATGGTCACCAGAACCTAACAGCGTTCGTACTTCTGAGCCGTCACCAGTGTCTCTAATGTTGAATTCCCTTCCTGACATCAGATCCCTTAATTCCTGAGGGCTGGACCTTTTCTGGTTTCCCTCTGAGAACAAAAAGTTTTCCCTTTATTATGGCTCAGCACTCCCGTTTTACCTTGCATGACTGAGAGTGTTAAAGCAGAAAGCTCTGGAATGGTTGTTTCGTAGCACTGAAGAGCCAGTAGGGTCCCTTCAGCTACCCAGCCTCAAATCTTCTGGGTTCTCAATTCCTCTTTATCCCGCATTCCCAGCCCCTTTCCAAGGAGCTTCACTGCCGCTGTCTTCCATATAATATCCTCTTCTCTCTTTGTTACTTTCCTCATTTCATCTCTTCTATATTATTGTGGGTCTCTCTTCTTCCATTATCTCCTTGCCATGTGTGCAGCGTCCACCCTGATCTGGCCTCAACCTTCCAAAGTTTATTTCCTACCACTCTTCTTTACTTCCCTACACTCCAGTTGAAAAGAGTGGCTCTACTCAATAGTTGTCACCATTTCCCCTCTCCCTGGGCCTTCTTTCTTATTTTCTCCTCTCTGGGAATGCACTTTTCCTATGCCTCTCAAGGGCTTCTCTCAGCGCCCGGCTCCAGAGGCCTGCCGTGGTCTCTTCCCGGTCTGTACTTCAGCAGCACGGCTCTCTTAGCTCTTGTGGGCCTCCACTCATTTCTCCTCTCAGTCATGGGTATTTATGTGTTGTCCTTTTCCCTCGACTAGATTGTAAATTCCTTAAAGGCTGAATCCCACAGTAATGCTCAAACACCTTCCCTAGTAGACAGTCAATAAGTATTTGTTAAATCAATCATTTTTTCTTTTTACAAAGATAATTTGTTTGGCCAAAGATGGGATGGCTGCCTTCTAATGCGATGAATGTGATGCTTTTTTCCCCCCTTTAGTTGTGTCTTTCCCTGGCCCATTGAAAGAAGAGAATCTATTAAATGTTCCCAAGCCACTGCCAAAACAGCTGTGGGAGACCAAGGAGGTGGGTGAACAGTACTCAGCTGTGTTTGTTGTCCCTGAATGTTTGCACTTCAGAGGTCATTGTAAAATCCTGCAGAGGAGGAAAAAAGAGGAATTGGGAAAAAAGGAAGAGAGGATGTCTGGGGATAGAGATAGGAAGACTATATTAGGGAATGATGGTTCAAATAAAAATTATCACAATTGTGTTGATGAATTAGTGCAGTGATCTCTTCCTAATTTTCATGTGAATTTACTTATTGAGAAAAACCTTTTAGTCCCTCATAACTCATTCATATTACTAAAAGCGCAGAAACTTGCTTATAAGTAATAGGCAGACTTTTCTGTGTTTTAGCCAACACCTTCTACCAGTCACCAGCTTCTGTCCAGAATTGCTGATTCACCAGATATTTCTTTCTTTAATCAAGAGCATTTGACCTGAGTCCTCTGGGAGTCAGTAAGCAAGTCATCTGTTTAATGGTTTCCATGAGGCTTTCAATATTTGTATCCACAGGTGTGCTCGCTGAGCTCCCCCATGGCGCTCTCTGTAAGCCTCACCCACTGTGGAAGAGAGGGAGGCCCACGGTACCTGAGTTGATCTTTCTTCCCATAGGGAAGCTGTGTTGCCTTTGACAGGAAGCAGTTCATCTGTCCCAGCCCTTAGTGATGCTCTGCTGCCATTGCTTGTGTTGTCTCCATTCCTAACTATTCCCACCTGTTTAGGCTTCCTTTGGTCCGGTTCCAGTTTCTTCTGCCAAGTCTACCAAAGTCATTGTTAGCATTAGGATAGGCTTGAAAGGTCTTTTGTAAAAGCAAGATGTATTTGATGTTTAATCTTTTGGGGGAAGAAAAGAGATATGATGTAAAATTGACATACTTCAACATAGGAGGAGGGGCCATACTGTGTCTCTTTGGCTGTGGAAGGTGCAGTGGTGTTAGGGGCTTTTGTCAGAAGATAACTCTGTCTTCTCTTGCAAAGAGCGCAGCGGCACCCACTCTTCCCTGAGTGCCGGGGACTGCTCTCTGGGAAGAGGAACTCACCTCCCTCAGTTCTCACGGATTTGCAGTCCTCCATAAATCATTTCGGGGAGAAGAGTTGAGTCAATAGGTTCATTCATTTTTTTCAATACACTTATTGAGCACCTATTGCCAGGCCTTCTAGGTGCAGAGATACTGCAATAAACAAAATAAAAATCCCTGCCCCCCCGAAGCCTATATTCTAGTTGAGATATTTATTTTCTTCTGACATTAATTTCCTCTTTTTTCACCTTGTTTTGTTTTTCTGTTTTCTTCTTTTCCTCTCAGGCCAATTGGAAAAAGGAATGTTTATTTAAAAGCTCTATATGGAAAATATTGGCCTTTTTGAAGGAAATAATATTCATCTAGAAGATAAATTAAGAAAGCATCAAATTAAGGAAATTTATTAATGTTATGCCACCCTTCTGCCTGGAAAAGTGTGGTCAAAACTTAAATGACTATGTGAGGATGCTGTTTATATGTGCTGCTTTCTCTTACACTGACTGGAGCCCCAAGATACTTACAAAGACACTTTTTAAACATCTGCATTTGGCTTTACAATGAGTAAGCCCAGCTTTCTGTTTCTCCCCAGATTCAGTCCCTGTCAGGGCGCCCTCGATCTTGTGATGTTGGAGGTGGCAAGTAAGTAATGTTCTTTTTGTTCATGGCTCAGAGACTGTCCTGAAGGTTTTCCTGAAAGGAAAGTCGTACTACTTTGTCACAGAATCTGAGAAACTTCGCTTGTTATGTATAAATTGAAAGTCAACTGAATTTTCATAAAAACAACTGTGCTTTTTTGGTACTCATATTTCATTTGTTTAAAGTAATTAAATTACATAACTACAATAACAAATAAGAATGCCATAAATATATTTGAGAGTAACACCACTGACTCCTGGTAAACACATAATTTGACTGGTAGAAGCAGAAGGGGGCGTTGAGAGGAGCCCCCCAGCCTCACACCTTTGGCAGGCCATGGGCACCTGGCAACTTGCTTATGTGGAATGGAAGAGAGTTTCTATGAATGTACTTAATGCTACAGAACTGTACACTTAAAAGGGATAAATTTGATGTATGTATATTTTACCACAATTTTTAAAATTAATGGAATATGAATAAATAGGAAAATTTGCAAAATAAAAAGTTTCTGTGAAACCATTAATTAGTTAGTGTATTTAGTATTATACAACTTTACTCCCTAAAAGATTTGAGACGGTTGATAAAAATACATATAGTACAAAAAAATTAATAAAGACTTTCATGAGGAAATTGGGACTAAGGAAGAACGAGAAGATGAGAGACATAGTGAAGCCCACACGTTAACAGACAACACAGAGGAAACCCATCAGAAGACCAGTTAAATGATGCAGACAGGCAGTTGCCAGGGGAGGAGCAGCTACTCCTTGATGCTGTGACTGGCTGGAAGAAGGCTCTCCCATAGGTCTTCACAAAGAGCACCGCCCCCTTGGGACTTGATGGGCAGTGTCCTGAGAGAGCACCAAGGGAGCTGCGTGAGGCTATTTATCACAGCGTCCCTCCGTGCTGTCCCATGGCTTGGAACCAAAACCAGCTCCAAAACAGCAACTCTTCCAGGGGCCAAAACAATGTGGTTTGAAAATGGGTCCCTCGTATGGTCTAGCTGAGTACCAACACACATTCTAGAGGGTCTGTGGATGAACTAAATCTACTTCAGGCAATCCTTAGATGTTATTGCCCCCAATGAAGCTTTCTATGAGTATTTAATAGCAATGAGTTCAGGGCCCTCCCTACTGAGTACCTGGAGTGCAGACATTCTTTTTGGCTAGTTAAATATAAACTCATGTAGTTAACAGCCCACTGAGCTGAGGTGAGGATTGACCTTCTCTTCAGCAAGTCACAGAGCCTGCCAAGACACACGCCCGGACAGAAGACCAGCAGACCTAGGGGTATAGGACATCCCCACAGACAGGGCCACGATTTTCCTCAAGAACCAATTTTGGCTCAACCCTCAGACAGATGAGTGATCCGGGCTCCGAAGGCTTATGTTACAGAATCAGGCTGCAATACTTTAAACCCCTTCCCACCCGCCCAGAGTTTTAAAGCAGGTATTTCTTAGGTAGAGAAAGTTGCTTTTTTGCTCTTACAGTAGAGGTAGAATTCCATTCAGTGACTCATATTGATTCAGATATTTATTGACCCCCTAATTCTCGGTGCTGGGGTAGAGCAGTGGACAAACCAGATCAAGTCCCTGCCTTCAAGGAGCTAATACTCTAGTGGAGCAAGATGGGCAAAAACAATGAAGCAAGTAAATATACTGTATGTCATGTGTTGGTAAATACAATGAAGAAAACGAAAGCAAAGTAAAGAGACAGGCATCGATGGATGTCAGGGAAGGTCTTCTGATAAGATGATATGTGACCAGAGCCCAGAATGAAGTGAAGGGGAAGAGGGCTCCAGGCAGAGGGGACACAAGTGCAAAGACCCTGAGACAGGAGTGTGCCTGCAGAGTAAGGAGGCTGATGTAGCTTGGATCTGACTCAGGGTAAGATCAGAATCATCGAAGGGTTTAGAACCAAGGAGAACGTTACCTGCCTTATATCAGATGCAAGAGATGACTCCAGCAGGTATAACTATACTTGGAAAGTTACAACTTGTATTTTTCTCTCATCTAGAGAGATTTTGTTTTGAATGTCGCTAAGGACCTGGTTCACATTGGTCACAGTCACTCTCTCTATCCTTGCTCTGTGCCACTGGCCACTGTTTCTGCCTTCCCCCCTTCCTCCCTCTGCCTTCATCCCCACCTGGTCACCCGTGGATCTTTCTTCTCTCAGTCAGAGCCCATCTGCTCTCGTAGTGAGCAGCTCTGGGTTCTCAAGTTTTGTTTTAGTCCTTGTTCTTTAACCCTATAACCAGTTTCATGCATTCAGCCATCTGAAAGAGAAGATACCACATTCAGCTTTTCTACGCCCAAAATCTTCCTTCTTCCTCATCCATCAAATTGGACACCTTTCCTACCTCCCGTTTCTTTTGTCAGGCCTCCACAATTGTCCCAGTCCTCCTATTTTTACCAAGAAGAGAGGCCATCAGCAATGATGCTCAGCTTTCCATTTGCCCCTAATTCCCCTCGCCATCCTTTTTTCCTAGTCTCAGAGACACGTGTGTCCCTCCTATTCAAGGCCAGTCGCCTTACCCATTCCTGGCCCTTGTCCCCACGGGCCTTTCTGAAGCCTCTCTCTTATCCTTCCCTCTCCTGCGTTTTCAACCTTCCTTCTCTACTAGGTTTTCTCTCTGCGTTTAAATATACTTAAGGATTCTGCACTAGGAAGTCCTTACTTGACCCTGCATGCCCTTTTAGTTACTTCCTTCTCGTCCAGAATTCTTAGCCACACTTTTTGAAAGGATATTTATTCTTGAGCCTTCCTTACTGCTTGTCCACTCCTCAGCCTGCTGTGGCCGGGCTTCCACCCCTTCTGTTCCAGTGGAATTGTCCTCAAGAGACATCCCTTTACATGTCTTCCTATGTTTCAGAAACTCAGTGTCTAAAACAGAATTTGTTATCTTACCCATACCACCTACTCTTATCCCCAGTCTACTTGTACACCCAGTGTTTCCTCTCCTAGTGGGTGGCTCCACCAGTCCCATGCCAGAAAATCAGGAGTCATTCTTGAGTACTTCCTTAAATATCTGTAGACTCCTCCCTGTCTCTCCATCCCCACGGTCTCATTATGTCATGTTTGACTTTTCAGCAGCGTCGTAACTCACCTCTCTCCCTCCTGGCTCTGTTCCTTACACCCCAGTTCTCCCTCCCCTAAGTCTACTAGCCACACTGTCCTAAGAATGCTTATGTCTTTCCCTTGCTTTCAACCTTCCACTGGCTTCTTGTGATCAGCACTTCAGTCCAAGCCTCGTGTGCTCTCTGCCTACTTCTCCAGTCCCATCTCCCATCACCACCTCCCCCTCCTAAACTTAACCTTCCTGCAGTCCAGGTTCCTAGGGCACACTATGTCATTTCACACCTCTCTGCTTTGCCCGTGCTGTGAACTCAGCCTGAAGTGATTGTCCTGCCTAGATCATCTGAATTCTTTAGCCTTTAAACTCAGCTCAGAAATCCTCCAGGAAGCCCACTCTAGCCTGCTGCTCATTCCCTCCACACCTTATACCACCAGCCTCTGTCACTGCACTGCTGAGTTGTATTATATTGCAGGTTATTTTCTTTATGGCTTTGTCTGAGTCGTTTGAGGCCCTGATGCCAAAGGCTGGTCCTGGGAGGTGCTCTCCTGATGCCTGCTGTATTCAATTCATCACCTGTTCCTGGCTAACGCTACCTTCCTCTAACCATTCTCCTCCTTTTCAACCTCACTGCTCTTTTCCTAGTTCAGACCTCTACCACAGCAGTAGCCTTCTAACTGGTTCTCCCTGCCTCTCTTTCTGCTCCCTTAAGCCATCTTCTTTACTGTACCCACAGTGGCATTTCTAAAATGTTATTCTCTAACCTAAACCTGGGCTCCCTATTTCCTGCAGTCTCTGACCCAGACTCTTCAGAACAGCATGTCATCTTGCTCTTATTTTCTTACTCACCTGCCTCTCCCACCTCATCTTCTGCTACACTCTATTCCCCACTCTGCCCTGACACCTGACACCTAGGCCACACCAAGCTGCTTACAGTTCTTTTTTTTCTGCTAAGGAAGATTCACCCTGAGCTAACATCTGTTACCTCTGTTGCCATTCTTCCTCTTGTTGCTTGAGGAAGATTCGTCCTGAGCTAGCACCTGTGCCAGTCTTCTTCTCTTTTGTATGTGGATCACTGCCACAGCATGACCGCTGACAGGTGGTGTAGATCTGCGCCCAGGAACCGAACCTGGGCCACCGAAGCGGGGTGCACAAACTTGACCACTAGGCCACAGGGTCAGCCCCTGCTTGCAGTTCTGTGAGCACACTGTCATGTCCTTGGTAAAGCCTTCTCTTCCCCAGCCCATCCTCACATTGACAACTCCTGCTTCTCTGTTCCCAGTGTCACTTGTACCTAATGGTTATTCCACCCCTTATCAGACCTGGCCCAGCGTGCTTCCTTCCATATTGCAATTGCTCGCTTTACCAGTCTGTCTCCTGCCTGCCTGTGAATCCAAGAGCAGTGCCCCCTCAGACCTGGGCTAAGAGGCCCCTCCCTGAGCCCCTCACTTTAGAGGGCTCCACTCCCGTGGAGTCTGGTTCCGAGGGGCCACAGGAGAACACACTGCCTGGCCTGAGGGGTGTCCAAGCACGATGCAGAGTGTGGCCAGAGCTTGGCCCATAGGCTGAGATAGCCACATGTGTGCCCTACAGTGCAGATCAGGGCTGGTGTGGGAAGAGAAGGGGGGTGGACTGAGGACGGGGGTCTGCCTCTTTGTATGTTCTAGCGCAGAACTCTAAGGAGTTGGAGAATTCTCGATTTGCACCTGGCCTTCCAGGCTATTATGAAAGTATAACTTGTCAAGATAGAAACATAGAACATGGTTCATTTAAGGGTTTGTTCATCTGATTTATAACTTTTAGAAATTTGAACAGATGGTGTGCGGGCCTCCACGAGCACTCTCGCTTCAGGCCTGCAGATGTTAGGGGTGGGCGGGCCTGACCTTGACTGCACACACTTTGCTCACTGATCATTCTACCTCCAGCACTTAGCCTAGCGCTGGGCACACAGTGACCAACTAACTGATTTTGATAAATGAATGGTAGCATCTCTTTCTCACTTTAAGGGTTGTGAAAACTGTAACTAAAAAACTATATCTTAGAAGGTATCTGGTTGATACAGAGATACTTTTTTTTTGGTGGGAAAGATAATTTAGAAATTAGAAATCTAGCCAAAAGAACCATATAAATACAAAGCAGTGCCTCACATTTTATGTAGTACTTTATAATTTTCAAAGTACTCTTGCATCTATAATCTAATCTGGTCTTAGAAAATATTCCTGTAAAGTGGGCGTAGGTGACTGCGTTCCCTCGAACCCTTCATCCAGTTGAACAGGTCAGGAAGTTGCACTTCAGAGAGGTTAAGCCAAGGATGCAAGTTCTCAGAATGAGGGAGAGTCAGAGCCTGTCTGAGGACTTAGATCTTTGGTACCCACTGCTTTATTTCACAAGGAAAGTATCGTATGTGTCCTGTTCCCTGACAGCCATATGCATTTTAGAAAGTAATACATATTTTTCTTTTTTCAGTGCTTTTCCACACAATGGTCAAAACATAGGCCTTTCACCCTTTCTGGGGACCCTGAACACTGGGGGGTCATTGCCAGATCTAACCAACCTCCACTACTCCACGCCCCTGCCAGCCTCTCTGGACACCGGCGACCACGTCTTTGGTAGTATGAGTGTGGGGAATAGTGTGGGCAACCTTCCTGCTGCTATGACTCACCTGGGCATTAGAAGCTCTTCTGGTAAGTATCTCCCACTGAGTAAGGACCATGCCCATGTCACCTGGTGGCTTAATCCTGGGTGGTCCCAGGCCAGGTAGCTTGTTAGTGAATTGTTGAATGAGAGTGACCACATCTAACATTACTGTTTTTGTAGCACTTGACCCTGCTGACATTTCTCTTTGGTGGTCTCTTTCTGCTGGATTTGAGAGTCAAGAAAAAAGTGTCCATTCTATTCTGTTGGCTGAACAATGTTAGTGGCTCTTATCAACATATGTTATTTTGTAATTACAGTCATCTCTCTAGATCCCTCGAATTTCCCATTGGATTTCAAAAGAGAGTATTTTGAATTTTAGAAAATTTATAATGGATATGATGAAAATATTTATACTTAATACGTATGCATATTAAATATAAATCCTCCATAGTTCAAAATTATTGGTTCAAATTTTCAGAAGTGCTTAAAGATGCGGAATATAGCTGTACTAAAATGCTACCCCTAATGTGACCTGAGTGTTACTGCAGTTTGAGTGCCCACATTGAAACATGACTGCTTTCCCTCAAACCCTGACAGATGCTTCAATTTCCCATTGGATTTCAAAAGACAGTCAAGGGGAAGTGCTTGCTGGTTTCCACTGTGTGTTCAACAAGACTTGTCCAGGCAAATCAGAACTCACCATCAAATGAGAGTGGTCCCCTTCAGGGTGGTCCCCTGGAAGGTTCTCTGATGATTGCAGTGATGCTGCCATTGTGCAACGTAATTTTAGGTTTGAAGAACTGATTTCAGAGACCACCTTTATTTGTTTTTGGTCACGTTATTATCCTGCTGCTATATATGTATCCTTGGTGAAGTCTTTATGAACAAGGACATGTAAGGTCACATAAATAAAGCAGCATTGGCACTAGCTCCCTTGGGTCTTGGTGAAATTGGCATTTTCCAGGGCTGTCTTTGACACTTTGCTGCAGCTGAAAATCCCATTTTAATCACTGGGTGTTATTTTCCTCAAAAAAAGCATTATTTTGTCCAGAACGCGTGACAACCAGTGTCAAGTTTTGATAGTTTCTATGCACTCCTTATAATGCGTGGTATACCAAGTTGCACGTATTTTTTTAAAAATGTTTGAGCTTTTTGAGCTTTCTTTCTGAATGAATGGCATTGGTTTTTTTTTGTTAACCTAAATTCAGATCTTTAGCACTGGTTCTAATTTGAGCCAGCTGAATCCCTGCCCTCTTCATGGAGAGTTGAGTTGTGGGTTAACTACCTAGGGTTTTATCAGGGACATCTTTCTTACCTTTTAAAAATCATTTGCCAGCTAAAAATGCTTTATTTTGTTATTTCTTCGTTTCCATAACTTTTATCTAACACTTTGTGTGTGTGTGTGTGTGTGTGTGTGTGTGTGTGTGAGGAACAGCCTCAGTGTGTGTGTCAGTGTGTCACTGACACACAGTGTGTGTCAGCCCTGAGCTAACATCCATGCCAATCCTCTTTTTGCTGATGAAGACTGGCCCTGAGCTAAAATCTGTGCCCATCTTCCTCCACTTTATATGGGACGCCGCCACAGCATGGCCTGACAATCGGTGCATCGGTGAGCACCCAGGATCCGAACCCGGGCCGCCAGCAGCGGAGTGCACGCACTTAACCGCTATGCCACGGGGCCAGCCCCAACACTTAATTTTTTATCAGCATGACACAACACACAGTTCTGCTCATCCCAACTGCTGGGCAAGAGTGATGGGCTGAACTTTAAAACATGGGTATTGAGATACACAGTAGCAGCAGCAGCAGCCTTCTTCACGGAGCAAAGCCACTCCATGCCAGGCCCTGTGCCAGGTGCCAAGGATCCAGCAAGGCACCGTACAGGATCCCTGGCCTCATGGAGCTTGTGCCCTAGCGGCCTGTGTCATGGAAATGCCATTCCCAAACTCTCTTGCTCCTGCTAAAATTCACTGCCCTCCCCCCAAATAAAACAAAGCACCAGCAAAATCTTCATTTTCCCTGAATTGTAATAGACTGTGATGAACGATTTCTCAAGAGCCAGAAAACAAAAAGAAAGGAACCCTGAGGCAGGAGACACAGGAGTGTCCCTTCCTATGACTCCCTGGTGTGCTCAGGGTATTTAAAAGGTCCGCTGAGGCAGCTCCCCGAAAGCCACGACTCTAGTGAAAAGATGTCTCTAAAGGCAGCGGAGGATCTGGGCAGTGTGCCTGGGACAGAGGCATTCGGGGCTGTAAACAGAACTTGTACAGCCCTGGGGTCTTTTTCTAGGTTGGAGCTGAGCACACTGAACATTAGCCTTCACTACCCCCTGCTTTCCTAGGCCTGCTCTCCCACAGTTGTGTACATGCTCTCACTCCTTTTAAGAAAAACTCATCCTCATCTTTTTTTTTTTTTGTGAGGAAGATCAGCCCTGAGCTAACGTCCATGCTAATCCTCCTCTTTTTTTTTTTTTTTTTTTTGCTGAGGAAGACTGTCTCTGAGCTAAGCTCTATTACCAATCCTCATCCTTTTTTTCCCCAAAGCCCCAGTAGATAGTTGTATGTCATAGTTGCACATTCTTCCAGTTGCCGTATGTGGGACGCGGCCTCAGCATGGCCGGAGAAGCGGTGCGTCGGTGCGTGCCCGGGATCCGAACCCAGGCCGCCAGCAGTGGAGCGCGCGCACCTAACCGCTAAGCCACTGGGCCGGCCCTCGTCCTCATCTTGATGGCATCTCTCTCTCAGTCTGAGCTTATCTTTTCCTTGCATTGGTACATCTGATAACAGTTTCAGTAGAAGAGTTGCCCAGGAGCTCCTTTACATAAAGAATCATCATTAAATATGGATAGTAGAAAGTTAGATTTTCTTTAATCTTTGGAAAACAAAAGATATGGTCTGAAATTATAACTGGTAACTTGTGATTTTGTTGTTTTCTAGGTCTCCAGAGTTCTCGGAGTAACCCCTCCATCCAGGCCACGCTCAATAAGACAGCGCTTTCCTCTTCCCTGAATAGCCACCCACAGACATCCGTTCCCAACACCTCTGCTCTTCACCCTTCACTCCGTCTCTTTTCCCTTAGCAACCCATCTCTTTCCACCACAAACCTGAGCGGCCCCTCTCGGCGTAGGCAGCCTCCCGTCAGCCCTCTCACGCTTTCTCCTGGCCCTGAAGCACCTCAAGGTTTCAGCAGACAGCTCTCTTCAACCAGCCCACTGAACGTATATCCTGTTTCGCAGGTAAAAACAAACAAACTTACAGTGAAACAGACTGAAGCGTATAGGAAACGGATCAGGTCCATTACACCAGGCGTTGTCCATGAGGTCTCCCCTGCAGTCAGTTCTCACTTACATGTGAAATCAGAGAGAGCAGAAATGTGAATAATTCAGAATGCATTAATGATTTCTAATAGCAGATTTGTTGTGTTCATTACTCTTAAGCAAACACTGAGCAGTTCACTTACTAACTCACAAAGTTGGGGTTAGGGGGAAGAGTAGAGTGTAGAGGATGCAATCCAGATGTGTCTGAGATAGCTAGGGGAAACCAGGTTAGGATGTTAAAATTGGCATGGAAAATCAATAATTGACTCTCTAAGTACTTCAAGCCACAGCGGAAAGCCAAAGAAGACACTTTCCACCTTCCTGAAGCTTTGATATTGGCTTAGACCTCTTCCCTAATTGTGACTACAGATTTGAGAAACAATACTTTTATTGTTCCTAAAATACTAGGTATAATAAAAATCATATCTCTATAAGAGGACCCAAAGAAGTGTGTTTAGAAAGATGCACATTTTGGAGTCACAAGCCTGTTACAGAAAATTAGGGGTTGAAACGGCATCTTTAACTTGTTGAGTTTGTTTTTATTCTAAGCTCTGAGGATGGTTCCCTTACCATAATCATCAATGAATATTTTTAACCTATTGGTCACTCTCTGGATACATTATAACATCGTTTACTCACCACTTCACCATAAATGAGTGCTGATTAGTAAGGAGGAGTCGACAGAACACGGCAGAATGAGTTAGCAGATCAGTTATTAGTCACTCTTTACCAATCGCTAGGTACGGGGTCTTGATTATATGAGTAATCCCTTCCAGGAGAGGGTGAGAGCATGTTTCATAATTGTTTTTTAATGGTTCTTTTATGTTGTTGGATTGCCTTCAATTTTATTTTCCAAGCTTATTTTATAGGATATAAAAAATATACCCTCACTTTTTAGCCACATTTTAAGAAGACTATAGGGGTAGAGAGTGTCCTCTTTCAAATGTTCTAATTTTTTTTTTTTTGATTAATGTTTAGATTTTTAAAAAGTCAGTGTTGGGGCCAGCCGCTGGCATGGCAGTTAAGTTTGCACGCTCCACTTCGTTGGCCTGGGGTTCACAAGTTTGGGTCACGGGCGTGGACCCACACACCGCTTGTCAAGCCATTGCTATAACAGCGTCCCATATAAAGTAGAGGAAGATGGGCACAGATGTTAGCCCAGGGCCAATCTTCCTCAGCAAAAAGAGGAGGATTGGCAACGGATGTTAGCTCAGGGCTGATCTTCCTCACACACACACAAAAAATCAGTGTTATTCACGCACATAGTTTAAAAAGTCAAATCGTTTTTTTTGTTTTTTTTTTTTTAAAGATTTTATTTATGTATTTATTTTCCCCCCAAAGCCCCAGTAGATAGTTGTATGTCATAGCTGCACATCCTTCCAGTTGCTGTATGTGGGACGCGGCCTCAGCATGGCCGGAGAAGCGGTGCGTGCCCGGGATCCGAACCCGAGCCACCAGCAGTGGAGCGCACACGCTTAACCGCTAAGCCACGAGGCCGGCCCAAATCAAATAGTTTTAAAGGGCTTGTTGTAAAATCACAGTTGTCTTCCCCCGCCCCAGCTCCCCACTAACCATATTTCTCACTGCCTAGGGGTGGCTACTTTCAACCACTTTAGCTGATCTCTGGTATAACTGTGCTATTTCCTGCTTATTTTGTTCTAGATTTTTAGTGGTAGGTATTATCTAATGGTATCCTACCATGGAAGATTAGGATTTAGTTCTCTTTCAACCCTCCCGAAACCAACCACCCCCCATGGACACATATTTCCTACTTACCCTCCTCATCTTCACAATGTGGTTTATTATCATTTTGATCAGAGCAATACTCAGTGTTTAGTGTTTTTATAGTTAGAATAATGTAGTCTTCGTTGAACGATATAGTATACTATGAAATAACAAAATGAACATTTTTTTTCTCTTGGGAGTTAATAAATGTCTCACTTTGTTGTTAGTCTGGTTTTCTATCTGTGTTTTACTTATTCAACCCCAAAATCTCTGAGTTGGGTAGATCTCCCCTCTTTACATTTAAAAACAACTCCCCCAGTAGCTTTACAGGAAAGAGTACATGTGACCTGGCATGACTTAAATATGTCTTTATTCTGCCCACCGTTTAATTAATATTGGCTTGATATAGAATTCAAATTTGAAATAATTTTCTCTTGAAATTTTGAAGGTATTAATCCATTGCCTTTTAGTTTATCGAGTTGCTATTGAGAAATCCAGTACCATTCTGATTCTTATTACTTTGAATGAAATTTCCTTTTTTTCCTCTGGAGGCTTGTAGCATCTTCTTTTTGTCCCCAGTGCTTTGAAACTTCCAGATAATGTGGCTTGACATGAGTCTGGATATTTGGTTGGTTTCTTCATTCTGGAAACTCATATCCTTCATTTCTGGGAAATTTTCCTTAATGATTTCTTCCCTTTGATTTTCTCTGTTCTCTCTTTCTGAAACTCCTATTGTACAAATGTTGGACATCCTGTACTTTTCCTAACATCTTTATTTTTTTCTCTCTCTTTTCTCTCTCTTTGTCTTTTTGTTCTGCTTTCTGGAAGAGTTTCTCAACTTTGTCTTCCAACCCTTATGTTGAGTTTTTCATTTCTGTTCTCATACTTTTAAATTGCCAAGAATTCTTTTTTGTTCTCTGAATCTTCGTTTTTTATAGCATCATACTTATTCCATGGATGCAATATCATTTTTTATCTCTCTGAGATTTTTAGTGATAATTTTTGTTCCACTTTCTCTTATTTTTATTTTTTGTAATAGAAATTTTCCACCTTCCATACAAGTAGAGAACATAATATAATGAATCCTTCTATACCCATCACCCAGCCTCAACAGTTAACAGGATTTTTGTAATCTTGTTTCATCCATATCACTACTTTTTTAAAAAGTATATAAAGATACAAATTGTGGGGCCAGCCCGGTGGCATAGTGGTTAAGTGCACGTGCTCTGCTTCGGCGGCCTGGGGTTCACGGGTTTGGATCCTGGGCAGCCACCGATGCACCGCTTGTCAAGCCATGCTGTGGCAGCATCCCATATAAAGTAGAGGAAGGGGCCGGCCCCGTGGCTTAGTGGTTAAGTGCGCACGCGCCGCTGCTGGCAGCCCGGGTTCGGATCCCGGGCGTGCACCGAAGCACCGCTTCTCTGGCCGTGCTGAGGCCGCGTCCCACATATGGCAACTAGGAGGATGTGTAGCTATGACATACAACTATCTACTGGGGCTTTGGGGGGAAAAATAAATAAATAAAATCTTTAAAGTAGAGGAAGATGGGCATGGATGTTAGCCCAGGACCAGTCTTCCTCAGCAAAAAGAGGCAGACTGGCAACAGATGTTAGCTCAGGGCTAATCTTCCTCACCAAAAAAAAAGAAAAGAAAAGATACATATTGCAAATGTTTTCATATGTATTTCTAACAGATGAGGATTTTTTTTTTTTTTTCTTGTGAGGAGGACCAGCCCTGAGCTAACATCCAATGCCGATCCTCCTCTTTTTTGCTGAGGAAGACTGGCCCTGGGCTAACATCCATGCCCATCTTCCTCCACTTTATATGGGACGCCGCCACAGCATGGCTTAACAAGCGGTGCGTCGGTGCGTACCCGGGATCCGAACTGGCGAACCCTGGGCCGCCGCAGCGGAACGTGCGCACTTAACCGCTTGCGCCACCGGGCTGGCCCCCAGATAAGGATTTTTTAATAGCCTAAATATTATAATGGTAATTTTGTTTTTCACAACTGCTTCTTTCTGCATAGATTTCTCCAAGTTTCTCTTGGTGTGTCTGCCTTGGTCTCTGACTTTCATTCAGATGCTTTCCTCATGGTCTGCTGATCCTTGGCACCCTGCTCCTAGTTAAGAACAGGTCACAAAAAAACTGACTGGGAGCTCTGCATAGATGGGTGGGCTTGTTGAGTGTGGTCTTCTTTGCAGAGTCATCTAGCTCAGCCATTTCCTTAGGGAACCTCTGATGTCGTAAGTTTTAGGATTTTCTCTCAGGCTTAATCAGATCCCTGAAGGACACTTATCCTAATCTTACACTGGGTGTATGCTTGGACTCAACATTCTGAGAGCCCAGGCAGGAAAGAAAGGTAGAGGCCTCAAGATTCGGAGGTGAGGGGCCGGCCTGGTGGCACAAGCGGTTAAGTGCGCGCGCTCTGCTGCGGTGGCCCAGGGTTCGCTTGTTCGGATCCTGGGCGCACACTGACACACTGCTTGGCAAGCCATGCTGTGGTGGCGTCCCATATAAAGTGGAGGAAGATGGTCACGGTTGTTAGCCCAGGGCCAGTCTTCCTCAGCCAGAAAAAAAAAAGAGGAGGATTGGCGGATGTTAGCACAGGGCTGATCTCCTCACAAAAAAAAAAAGATTCAGAGGTGAGCTTTCTCGTAAACCCTGGGTTTCAGTAGAATGCCTCGCCTTCTAGGGTCTGGTGTCCCCTGTCCAGAGACCCTCAGTTGTACTCTCCTCAGAGTACAGCCTCCAGTCTCCCAGGCAAGGGCTCCGAAGCCTAACTGCTGCTCGCGTCAACTTTGCTGAGATCCTCCCAGCTCCGGCTCCACCCTCACCGGCTGCCTCCCGCTGTCCTGGTTCCGGGTCCTCTTGGTTTTTCCCCACTGCTAGCTTAGCATTTGGCTTTCTCAGCTCTGCTAAGCCGGTTACTACTTGTCCATCTGCTTTCACTTTCCAAATTTTGTTGCCATTTTCTTCTCTCCCTTTATCTTTGTTTTCGTGTTGTTTTTTTTTTAATCTTTTTTTTTTGAGGAAGATTGCACTAACACCTGTTGCCAATCTTCCTCTTTTTCCTTTTTTCTCCCCAAAGCCCCAGTGCATAGTTGTGTATCATAGTTGTAGAGTTGTAGCTCTTCTATGTGGGACACCACCTCAGCCTGGCTTGATGAGCAGTGAGTAGGTCCGCGCCCAGGATCCAAACCGGCAAACCCCAGGCCGCAGAAGCGGAACACGCAAGCTTAACCACTACACCACCGGGCGGCCCCCTTTTTAATCATTTTTGTATTATTTTTTAATGTTGTTTATTAATGTTTATTGTTTAATGTTGTTTTAGTAGAGTTTTGAGAGACAGCAGGGTAAATGCTTTTTTCAGTCTCCCATCTTTAATCAAAGTTATGGCTTTTAAAAAACAAACAATTTTCACTGAGAAAACTGAGAGGAAACTGGTTAAGTTGGCTGGTCTTTTGTTTTGTTTTGTTTTGTTTTTGTTTTTGTTTTTTAAGACAATAGAAATTGTCATTGAATGGGAAATGCTTTGTGAGGAAGTGAGATTTGAGATAATGCTTTAAAGGAGCAGAAGTAGGTTTCCCAGAGCATTGCAGAGAACACCATGGTGAGGAAGAGCTCAGGCTTTTCCTCACTGTGACATTTCCCGATCTTAAAGGACATCCTACTAGAAGCTCAGAAGCCGTGCTGATTGGTGGCTTTGTTTGTTACAGATGGTGTCCTCCGATCGAAGCCCGCTCTCCTTCCTGCCCACAGAAGCTCAAGCCCACGTGTCCCCACCGCCCCCTTACCCCACACCTCAGGAGCTCCCCCAGCCTCTCCTGCAGCAGCCCCATGCCCAGGAGCCGCCTGCTTCGCAACCCCCGGCAGCCTCATCTCTGCCGCAGTCAGACTTCCAGCTCCTCACGGCCCAGGTACGTCCTAGCAGGAACACTGGTCAGGAGGAAACACGTGTTTTGCTCCGAGTTCCAAGCTAAGTAGTCCCCTCCTTTTTCCGTGAAGGGCTCATCTTTGACCAGCTTCTTCCCAGATGTGAGCTTTGACCAGCAATCCATGAGGCCAGGCCCAGCCTTTACTCAACAGGTGAGTGATCGCCTGGGGCTTCCTCTTCCTTGGAGCAGAAACTGCCCCATTTAGGCTGTCCAGGTTGAAACACACACCAGATGGACTTGGTACTCCACTTCCCTGATGTCAGGTGTACTTGGTGGCAAGGCAAGCCTGGAATCTCCCCTGGCACTAAAATGCTGATGTAGCTGCCTTATTTAGTGTCAGACCTCTGCAAAGAAACTGTTTGAACGGTGGTTCTGGAAAACCTCTAATGACACTCTGGTCATAGAATTTTAGAGTCGTTCACGCCAGGAGGGACCAGCGCACTCCACTGATCCATCATGTTGAGGAGCCTGGGACACAGGAGGGGCTCTGCCTGCAGGCCGAGTTGCTGTACGTGGCACTGTGTGTGGCCTCCTAGGGAGAGCTCGGTCCTGGTGGGGACAGGGGTCCTGCCCAAAGATTTTCCTTCAGCCATTTCCTTTTGCCTTTTAGTTTCTCCCTAACAATGACCATGTTTAATATCCCTAGATATTGTAGTGTTCAGTAAGTATGGATTGGGCTCTAGGCTGGATTAAGGAGAGAAGGAAGGGTGGAACACTTTCCAGAACTTAATAATAACAGTAAAATAATAAAGATAGATCTTTCCTGAGTAGGCTGTGGTCAAGCCTCATGGTGAGAACCAATAGTCCTTGCCTCCCTGTCTTCTGAAGAAGCCATTTTAGTCTAGGTGAGTCAGAAGGTGAACCAGTCCTCACAGAAGCTTTCTCATAGGGAGGGGCTTGCTTGAGGTTCCTCCCTCTGAGTGTCAGAAGAAAAGGATTCCACTTTCTTGTTTTTCTAGAAACCAAAGAGGGAAAAAGCCCATCACTTCATTTGTTAAAGATGGAGCCTTTAAAGGATTCCCACCAAAGGTTTCCAAAGGCCTTGGTGTGGCTGGGGAGGAAAGGTGTCTGAGACGGGAGGAGCCACAGAAACCATGACTACTGGTGTCTCCTGGGATGGCTTAGTGGGCCAGGCAGTGTGTGAACAGGGACAGGTCACCAAACTGTGGACCTCAGGGACCCCTCCTCCACCCCAGCATCTGCCTCCTGAGAATATTCTGCGTAGGTGATCATGACAGCAGAGCACTCTAGGATCCTAGAGAGAAGGGCCTATAAGAGGGTTTTCATTTCTGGTTTTGCTCTGGGAGCACGTTGCACTAGTCATTCCTTGGAAGCAGAGATGGTTCCTTACAACGTTACCTTTGATGCTTCCAGGTGCCCCTGGTGCAGCAAGGTCCCCGAGAACCACAGGACTCATTTCATTTGAGACCAAACCTGTATTCCAACTGTGGGAGTTTCCCAAACACCATCCTGACAGGTGAGTGAGGGCCACCCCTCAGCTTCTTTACTATTTTTATTTTTTATTTATTTATTTATTTTTGCTGAGGAAGATTCACCCTGAGCTAACATCTGTGCCAATCTTCCTCTTTTTTCTATTTGGGTCGCCACCACAGCGTGGCCGCCAACAAGTAGTGTAGGTCCACGCCTGGGATCTGAACCTGGGCTGCCAAAGCAGAGTGCACAGAACTTAACCACTAGGCCACAGGGCTGGCCCCTACTTTACTATTTTATTTTGCTATATTTTTACAGATACCATTGTAAGATAGTTTAAACAACAACATTATATGAAGCAAAACATGGAAGTCCCCCAGCTCAACTTTACCTTTTTGAGATGCAGGTGTCCAGCCCCAGCAACCACGAGGCAGTGGCCCCCACCAGAGGGCCTGGTGACCCAAGCCTTTTCTGAACTATTTAGTTATAAGTGACAACAGTTCAAAGGGAGAAAACCTGCAAAAATTGGGAGTTGTGGAACTGACTGAAAAGAATGTAGGTTCCAGAGCAAAATTGTAGGCCTGGGAATGGTTGGGACATGGGTGATCACTGTCCTGGTTGGGAAGATCAGAGGGACAGCATTTTGGGGGATGTCATCAGTTGTGTCTGCTTAGTAGCTTAGGGCCCTCACGCCTCCTAATCTGCAGTGTTTTTCCCTCTCGTTGCTCCTTCCAGAAGACTCGAGCACCAGCCTGTTCAAAGACCTCAGCACTGCGCTGGCAGGCATGCCTGAGGTCAGCCTGAACGTGGACACTCCGTTTCCATTGGAGGAAGAGCTCCAAATTGAACCCCTGAGCCTGGACGGACTCAACATGTTAAGTGACTCCAGCATGGGCCTGCTTGACCCCTCTGTCGAAGAGACGTTTCGAGCTGACCGACTGTGAACAGAATGAAACAGAACAGGAGAATTTATTTCTGAAATAGCTAAAATAGAGGAGAATAGAATGGAGCCAGCTACACCCCTGGGCTTCAGTTGTCTTGGGCTTCCAACATGGAAGGAACCAATTCCACAGCCCCCAGCTTTCAGATGAGGTCCTGTCTTGTACACTGTGGCTTATTCTAGACCACAGAGCCATGCACTGCCTCTCAGGCCTGCAGCACAGGATGTTGCTGCAGGCAGGCTGCTTTGGAGCTTCCGACGAATTGGTCATCACCGTGACCATTAGATCTTGTGGCCATCTAGTTGGTCGATGTGTAAAAGTGGAAAATATGTAATGGAGGACCCAGTAGCATTGTGTAGTGCTCAGAACCACTGATCTCAGTCAACACTGAAGGAGGGACCTGGAGGGGGAGGCAGTTAGGAGCCACAGGCCTTCGGGAATTGGCTCAGCATTAGCAGTGGTACCCCAGCACCACGTGCTTTCTCTGATCTAGCCGTGACAGCTACGTACCTACCAGCTGGTGGCAGCGATGTTCCAGGGCAGGGCGGAGAGCCGTGGCCTTCTCAGATGCCTTAATTCTAATATGACGAATTTTTTACCACAAGACCAAGAGCAGACTTGAGTTAAGCAAACTGAATGCTAATTTGTTTTGTCCCGGTCTGTAATCTCTCTTCTGCTGCTTCAGGACACCTTTTCCTATGGACAAGAGGAAGAGGAAGACTATTTTATTCAGTCACTGAAAAAAAGTCCCCTGGTAATGGATGAGCCTGAAGAGAACAGTGCTGCTTCTTGGTGGCTGGGGAAGAAAGAGGGGGCCTGTAGGTATCTCACAGACACGTGACATCCTCCAGACAAGTGCAGGCCTCCCTCTCCACAGACCGGCTGGAGGAAACAGCTGGAGGTCTGGACCAGACCCCCCCCAGCAGCTGAGCAGCAGCAGAGGGAAGCTGTTTCTCTGTGGACCAGGAGTGTTACTATAACCCCTCTAGACCGTGAGCTCCTTGAGGGCAGGGACTGTGCCTTATTCCTCATTGAACCCCTAGTACCTAACAAGTGCCTAGCACTGCGTGGGTGCCGCATAACTGCGTGTTGAATGCACGAACGAAGGAATGAATGAACGAATCTGCCTTGCTGTGAGGCAGTCTAATCTTGAGCTATCCCCGTTCCTTACCAAATCTTCTCAGAGCTTTAGCTTTTCTAACGCTTGCACCTGTGGTTAAGCGTGCACTTTAATATGCTTTTAACGCTAGGTGACCAAATCCATGACTAGACTAGGCACCCCTCCTCCCTGAGTGATGCTCCGTGGCAGGTGGTGCAGACTGACTTTGAGTGCATCCAGAAAGGCTGAGCAAACAGACCTCCTGAGTGCTGGGACCTCAGGGTTCCTGGCCAGGCCCCCACCTCAAAAGATCTTCCCTCTCAGATCCATGTTTTGCTCTAAATTGCCTTAAAAAGAGACTCATTCTTTAAGGTTGAAGAAATAGCCCATAGTAAAATGAAGGCCTAATTCATGAAACCATCATTAGTCATCAGCACCTCAGCATAAAAGTATTACCGCATGTCCACCCCTGCCTGCCACCTCCAACTTGGGCTAGGCCAGCCCCTGGCCAGAAAGCCCACTGGGGGTTTTGAATGGGGTGGAGGGGACGATGCCTCAGAGCACCTCTGGGGAGGCATCTGGGCAGTGGAGCAGAGCACGGGCAGGGAAGGCCATGGGAAGACAGGACACTGATGGGAGATGAGAGATGCCAGGACCTTTGCCCAGACAGCCACTGCCCTTCCAGGAGACACCAAGAGTGTCACTGAAGGCTGCTAGACTGCTCCCACGCAAGGAAGCAAGGCTGCACTAGGAGGGTCTGAACCTGACACACCTGGGTCTTAAGGGAAGAAGAGTCTGTCACGGGATCCTCGGCTGTTAATCTCTCCAGACTTCATCCCATTTCTCTTCTGTCTTTAGAGGGATTGCCTTACCTCCAGTCTTTCAAATTACCCTGATGGCGCACCACTCCATCTTCTTCTGTGGAGCCCAAGTCTCCCTGCTTCACATTAGCCCCAAGTCCCCGCTGTTGCATTAGGAGATCAAATCAGAGTCCTCCTTGCCTGAGCCCTGGCTTAGGAAGGGGCAGTTGCCCTCCGCTTCTAAGCCTTATTCCCAGTTAAACTTCCAGATCCTTTTATACTTGAGATGTCGAGGGGGTGGTGACTTTCTATTGAAATAAAAGGGCCTTTCCTTGTAACAATACACAGCACCCCAGTGTGCTGAAAGAGTGTGCTGAAAGAAGGCAGCTCCTTGCTGCCTCTCCTGTGTCAACAGCTCCCAAAATCTGATCTGGCCTTTTTTAGACAGGGAGTGGTGCTGGTGGTATGAGTTTTGGTTTTTGGTTTTTGGAGTTTTTTTTTAAAACGGAGGTCCCAGCATAATCCACTCTTTGCACAGTGCCTTTCCCATGGGGATCATCGATGTCAGAGTCCCGGCTCTCTTTTTCTGCACAGCAGCCCTGCCTTACACCTGGAGACCCCAAGACCTACATGATGAAGTGCGCTGCCCCTGGGGCATTCTCCAGGTGACACGTGGAACTGGAGGCTCCCAGGAAAAGTGACTCATTTGGAGGAGTATAATGATGACAATAAGGTTTAGCACTGAATTAAGTTTGTCCTTAGGTCCGTTGGTCCGATCTTTTCCTGTGAAAAGGTTTTGGGCATTATACAACCCGCTTTGCTTAGATGGTGTCAAGGCCACCCATGGACAGGGGCCGTGACTTCAGCGGCAAAGTCTGCACTCATTGCTGCCTTTGCAACAAACCAGGTGTGGTCCTCGGCATCTGAAGTGGCTGCAAACTTCAGAAAAAACTATTTTCAATATTTAGTTTTGTCACAAGAAATCGATGGCTATACTACTCTCATTTACTAGCAGTTAAACAGCATAGAACTAAAAGACTATCTGTGTTTCCATTTTTTCTTTCTGTGTGGTTGTGGTTTTTAGGACATACGGTGTTAGGAGAAAATTTTCTTGATCACATCAAGATCAACATAAATTCTCCTTTGTCCTGTTTCATTTCTCCTAAGTCTGCTGTATATCACCTGAGCTGAAATGTTGTGTATTCTAGCAATTTGCATATTTGAAGACATTTCCAATTCTGACTCTTGTTGGCTCTTCTGATTTATGCACAGATGGTTCCGTTGCTTCAAGATGGAACCATCACAGCAACTAATCAGACTTCCCGCCAGTGTCCTAATTCCCAGGTCCCTTGTTAAACAATATTTAAAGATTGGGATTTGTATAAAGTAGCTTCCAAGTTTTATATTGCATCATTTTACATCTTTCATAATTAAAAGCAGCACAACAATGTTGTATCTGCATTTGGTGTTTTTCTTCCGCCTCGGGTGAGGTGAGCTGGTGGGAAGCCTCCACTCAGCCTGCAGTTGGGGATTCCTGGTCCTTGGCATGGCAGGTCCTGCACTGGCTGCTTGTCACTCGTTCTTAATATATGTGCTGTTGTGTCCACTCCTGAGAAAAGTTCAGAAAGAAGTAGGGGCCCTTTGAAGGGCGGTTCCTATGAAGCTGTGAATACCAAGGACAGAGGCCATCCTGGCCAGGCCTTAATATTGTGCCTCCCATTGCCAGCACCCCTTCCAGACCCCTGCTCCTGCCCTCACCTAAAACACGCCCCGCCCTGCTCCCCTTTTGAGATTCAGGCCGCTGGTGCTCCTCCCCCAATGCTTTGCTGTCATGTGCTGGCCTTTAGCTCCCTCTCCCGCTTCACCAAGGACTTCGGCTCTGTTTTCTACTCCAGCCCCCGCCCCCTTTCCCTGTGTCCCAGCACGTCACAGCATGGCCTTCCAACAGCAAACAGCCTCACGCATCCCTCAGAGACCCACTTCCTCATCCTCACCCAGGGCTTATGATAAAGGTAACTCTTCTGAAATCTTACTCAGAAATCCCCTTTCTGGTCCTAATTTCCTGAGCCGCCGTTTCCACTCTGGTCCACACACACCCTGTTCTTTGAGCCCACTGAACATGCTGCTCCTTGTCCCTTCTCTCAGGCTATGTGTCCTCTCCTGACTTCCTTTCTCAGCCTAGTCCACGGGGTCAGTGGCCTCCATGACACCCTCACCAGCCCTCCTCCTGCTCTGACCCTCCGCCTCTCCCTGCCAGGAGCCCCACAGAAGAAAACCAACAACCCCACACTCTCCACCACCCCAGTCCTTTCCTGCAGACCTCTCCTCTCCTCAAGGCCCTCATTTCTCTCCTCACGTCCAGAAATTCCAGGCCATCAGGAGGCAGCTCCCTCAGCATCCCACCTGCCCCCCATCCTATCCTCTTCCCCCAAACTATCCCAAATCTATACCCATCTTACCGCCTTCCCCTCTGCCTTCCCTGGTTCTCGTTTTTCCCGTATGTGATTGGTCTGCCCTGCCCCAGGCCTCCTACTTCACCTTCTCCAATGGCTCTTCCCCATCAGCCTGTAGATATGCCTCCTCTCCTCCTTGATCAAAGCAAACAGGATGAGACAACTGTTTCCTTAGCCTCGGTCTCTCCTCCGGCCACAACCCTCCTGGAAGAGTGGCTCGTGCTCAACTCCATTCTCTTCTCTTCCTTCCACAGCCCGTCTGCAAACTCCATCTGCCCAACATTCTTGCCATCTCTGGCCTGTCCAGTCCAGGGGCCTCTTCAGTCCCTCTCCTTCCTGGCCTTTCCCTGACATTTGAGCCCTGGGGCCACTCTCTTTCCCCCAGGTCCTCTCTTTGGCTCCAATAAACCCTTTTCTCCTTGTTCTCTCAGGTCACACATCCATCTCATGTGTGTCCTCCTCAGCCATCTTTTCTTCTTCAGATCGACTGTCCCCAGGCCCCCTTGTCCAGTCCTCCAGGTTGATGACCCCCCGCATTCAGCCTTCTACCCCCACCTGCCTGTCAGCTCAGGTTCATTTGCACTCCACCCTGTGCTGCACTTGTCCTGTGTAGACCTGTGTACACAAGCAAGCATGCGTAATCACCCTTCGACATCCGCCTTCCCCATGGGGCTCTAAGCTCTGCGAGGACAGGGGCCACGCCTGTTTACTGAATTCTACATCTCCAGGGCCTGCATGTAGTAGGCGCTCAACAGATAGATTCAGACTACTAACTACTGTATACTCTCTACTGGATCACAGTCTCTGCCCTGATGCTCAAGCTGGAGAGTGACCATTCTGCACACTCCTCCTCCCCCTCTCAACCCCAGCCAGAGTCTCCAGGGCTATCTCACCCTCCAGTCCCCATCTCCCTAGCCTTGCAGTAGTTTCCCGTCTGGCTTCCTCCTCCTCCCCAGCCCCACTAGGCAGCCTCTACTTCCCCTCAGAAACTAGCAGAGTGACAGATTTTCCTTTTTGTGTGCCTCAGTGTTCTCATAGCAGGACAATGAGCACTCCCCCTTTCATAGCGCGTGGAGGGTGAGATGAACTCACACAACGAAAGCACTCAGAA